TGAACATTGTGAGAAAATGTTCACAGGGCAAACTGTAAGAGGTAAGATTTGAATTTGGGCAGAAGGGCAGGAGTTTGCTAGAACAGTGGGGGCTGGGTAAGAGGATGGGGTAGAGGAGAAGGGGGCTGCAGTAATAGAGGGAAGCAACTTGAGCAAGGCACAAGATCATAGAGTTGGGCAGCTGTGTGCTCAGAGGAGGTGGACAAAGCACATCGCAAGCATGTTGTCACCCCAGGGCCTTTGTACTTGCTGGCCCCTTTTCCTGGGACACGCTTTTCTTAGGTGCCAACTTAGCTCAAACCCTTCCTTCAGATCTTTGCTCCAGTGTCACTTACTCAGAGAGGGTCTCCTTGACCTTCCTATCAAAATAGCATCTTCCATCCTTCTCTATCCTCTTACTTATTGTTATTTTACAGCATTTATCACCCTGATAACATATTGTATATAGGTATATTTGTTTCTCTGTTCATGTTCTGTCTCTCCCACTTGAAGGTAAGCTGAACAAAGGCAGGAACCTTTGCTTGTTTATAGCTATATATTCCCAGTGCCCATAACAGTGCCTGGCACATAGTGTATGCCCCACAAATATTTAATGAGTGAAGGAGCAAACACTTTATTAGCATTGCAGTGGGGAATCCTTCTGGGCTCTTAGCTGCTTCCTATAGAAGATAAAGTAATATTGAATATACAAAGAAATAGGTTAACTTGGTCAGATTCTTTGGCTTGGTTGCTTGATTTTCTGCTGTTTCATATGCCTGCCCATAATTTCCTTCAAAGGGAAAACATGTTCATGATCCCAAGACCTCTCACTTTACTGTTTATTATTTTTTACCCACATTCACTTCTTTATTTTGCAAATATTTTTCGAAACTCCACTACACAGCAGGCAGGTACTGGGATACAGAAGAGGATACAACTGACCTGACCCTGCCCTTATGAAGCTTAGGTGAGTAAGGGAGACCAGGAAATCAATGAGCAATTACAGGAGATTCGGGTGCTTGAAAATACTAGCGTTAAAGAGGGGAGAGGTTTTGGGCACAAAGATACTCATTACAGCTAAACAGCCAGATGAAAGTTTAATAAGGTCTTAAGGTCTGCTGGTAAAAAAAAAAAAAAAAAAAAAAAAAAAAGGACTGCTGGTAGAGCGGCACCTGGGTGGCTTATTTGGTTAGGTGGTTGGTTCTTGATGTCTTGATTTTGGCTTAGGTATTGATCTCAGGGTTCTAGGATCGAGCCCCAGGTCAGGCTGCGCACTTTTGGTGGAGGATTCTTTCTCTCTCTTTCTCCTCTGCCCCTGCCTCTCCTTGCACATGTGCACTCTCTCTCTCTCAGAAATAAATAAAATAAATCTTTTTTAAAAAGACTGGTGGTAGAACAATTAAAAGATAATATTAGGTTGACCTGCATGACATTACTATTTTTGTAAGTCAGCTTCATACTACCAACCTAATATATTGATGAAAGGGGCCCAAAGCTCCAGATTATGTATCATCCAGTACACATCATATCAGTTGTGTAACCTGGGACAAATGTACTTAAATTCTCTCCCAGGGCCTCAGTTGCTTCATCTGTAAATGGGCATAAAACTAGTTTCTATGTAAGGATTGTATTTAAGATTAAATGGAATAATGCTTGACATACAACAATCCCTGAATATATGGTGGCCATAATTATGGTGTTTCTTCCTTCTTTATTGCATTTTCCAAATTTCTTGTAATTATAGTTTAAAAAAAAAATCTAGGGATGCCTGGGTGGCTCAGCTGTTGAGCTCAGGGTGTGATCCTGGAGTTCCAGGATCGAGTCCCACATCAGGCTCCTTATGAGGACCCTGCTTCTCCCTCTGCCTATGTCTCTACCTCTCTCTGTGTGTCTCTCATGAATAAATAAATAAAATCTTTTTAAAAATCTAGTAAACATAATTATTTAAATTTTCAAAGGACTCGTGATCTATTCCCCAAGGATCTTGAGCCAAGTCCAGGGCTGGGAATGTGGTTGAAAGCTTTCTTCCAGCCCCATGGTGGCTGGGCTCGGTTCAACAGACGGTGACCCCGAGAGCAGGGGTGGATGTTTGTGCTCTGAGGGACCCTGGGAGCTTTATTTACAGAGGACTCTCTGTCTAGGGCCTGAATTGCCCCCTCACCCCTGCAGCTGTTGCACGGATGGAGCCCATGAGAAGCCTGTCTCGGCCCACCCTGCCCTCATAGCCTGGACCCTGATCCTGGTCACCATAGACTTTGACCCAGTGCTTCTGCCTTAGGAACAGCCTCTGGTTCCTGAACACAGATCTGAACTGAATGCTGATCGTGTCCATTACCTATAAGTGGGCTATAGAGTTTCTGTTAGCGGCAATGAGAAGTTGTGGAAACGTGGCAGCTGGGCGGCTCAGGGGGTTAGGCGTCTACCTTCAGATCAGGTCATGATTCTAGAGTCCCGGGATTGAGCCCCGCATTGGCCTCTGTGCTTGGGGGTGTCTGCTTCTCCCTCTGTCCCTCCCCCTGCTCTTGCTCTCTGTCCCTCAGTCTCTCTCTCATAAATAAATAAAATCTTTAAAAAAGAAAAGAAAAAGTTGTGGAAACAGGTAGTGGTGATAGTGGCACAACATCATGCATGTAATTAATGCCACTGAATTGTACACTTAAAAATGGTTAAAAGGGCCAATTTCACATTACAGAGATTTTACCATAGTTTTTTTAAGAAGTGGGAAAAAAACCCAGGAATGGGAGAGGATGAAAGGGAGGGCAGGCTTGTCCTATGGGATTTAGTGGCCACAGGAGACCTGGATTTAGACCCTTGTTCTGCCCATTTGGCTCTTTGAACTTAGTGTAACTTAACCCCTCTGAGGATAACATGCTGCCCTCACAGAGCAGTCATGGCACTCAGATGTGATCAAATGGTGTGAAACTCTCTGTAAAATAATCAATAATTGTTAATTAGCATTGTCACCCTTTCATTCCCCAGAGAAAGAAAGAAACTCATTACAAACAAAATACAATAGTATCTTTTATTTCTTAAATATTTATTTATTTAGTCTCTGAGAATGCCTGAAATTCCACCTTGAGGCTTGGAATTCGGTAAATGGAAACCTCCAGAACTAAAACAGGAGGAGGACAATCTAAAGGAATCTCTCCATCTCTGGCTCCTCACCATGAAGGAGATCTAGTTTTGCTGGGGTTGGCTTTTGTGGGATCTCACAAAATGGTGAGACCCCTTGCGTCAGAGGAGAGCGGGACAAGGGTACATGAACTAGGAAGGCTGAGGGTTTCGCCCAGGCATTGGGCAGCAGAGAAATGATGTCCTTGCCCTGTCCCCTCATTGCCCCCTACGTCCTCCCTTCTTGCCTTCCTATCTTAAGTCGCCTTTCCCATCTGTCTCCTGGGAGATTTATTTCTGTCTCCTTTTTCATCTAAAACAGCGGAAATGAATCATCTTTCAGCCTATTTGGTAAACAAGCCCCATGCCCTCTGACCCCTCTGGGGCTCTCTCTGGTTCCTCTAGAGCTGCCTCTGGGCTAGGTCTCACCCCCCACAGTTGAGACTCTCCTGACTGATTATTTTTGGGAATGTCCCCCTCCTCCCAGGCCCAGAGGCTTGACCTCCTCCACCCTGTGGAAGATGGGAAATGACACACAGCATTCCAAATGATGATCCCACGAGCTGACCAGACGGGCAGGGAAAGGAAGGCAGCCCTGTGTTCTGAGGACTTTGTGTGCCATGCACGTCCTGGCACATCTCAACGACCCCATTAAATGGATCGTCCCTAATTCTCATTTTACAGGTGAGGAATATAAGGCTCAGAGAAGTGAAAGAATTTGCCCAAGGCCATGTAGCTAGTAAGTGGTGGAGTCAAGATTCAAAATCTGTATTCTTGGACTCATTCCATTATATCATGCTGCCCTATGTATTCACATGTACCTATGCATGCATGTTGAGTTGGGATACTGGTAGGTCAGCTTGAACTTCAACTGTAATCATCGGGATGGAAATCTAACATCCTTGTGCATAAAGCTATATGCATATGACAGATGGGTGTTTACCTACAAAGGGAAAGGCAAGTGTGTGCCATCTGTGCCTTATCAGACACCCGGAGATCCCAGAGAAAGGGGTCAAGGAGGGACAGGGATGGTGGGGGGAAGACCCTAGATTCAAGACTATCAAAGCCCTGGCCACACCTGACAGTGATGGAACTTAACAGATAAAAGTGCCTGGTGAAGTCCACATTGGTGAAACGACACTTCCCGGTGAACAGTCATGCAACTATTTATTGGACTTCTAAAAATGTGCAGGTGCTGGGTTTCTAGGGTTGTGTGGGATACAGAAATAAATCTACTGACGTGAACTATTCAGCGTGGCCCTATGTGTGCTGGAGGTGGGAGAGGAGTTAACATAAATATATAAATAACTGTGATGCAATGTAGATAGAAAGTGCTCGGGGGCCGAAGGGAGGGACGGATCCCATAACAGGGTTCCAGCAGGACCAGAAGCCGGAGAGATTGCTCGAGGCTGGGTATCAAGGAGAGTTTCCTCGGAGTTAGCACTGGAATCTCTCTAAGTAGATGTAGGCGATACATCAGTAGAACGCTTACACGGGTTAGATTGTGTCTAATCTTCCAAGGAGCCCAGAGACGCAGACATGTCCTTCTTCGCCTGTTACAGAGGTGGAAACCGAGGCTAGAGAAGCTGACTGGGTGGCCCACAGTCCCGCAGCTGGCAGGTGCCTGGCGGGGGTCTGCTCCGGGCCCGGCGCTGGGCTCCCACCCCGTGTGGCCGGCCTGGCCCGCCAGAGCCCGGGCCGAGAAGCTGGAGCTGCGGCACAGGGGCCGAGGGGGCGGGGCGGGCGGGCCGAGGAGGCGGGGCGGGAAGGCCGAGGGGGCGGGCCAAAGGGCCGAGGGGGCGGGGCGGGAGGCCCGAGGGGGCGGGCCAAAGGGCCGAGGGGGCGGGGCGGGAGGCCCGAGGCCCGAGGGGCGGGGCTGGCAGCGGCGCTGGCGCGCGGGAGGCCGCGGAGCTGCTTCCCTCTCCACCTGCCGGGCGAGCTCCGCGCCATGGGCCGCTGCAGGCTGGGGGGCGGCGGAGCCGAGCCCCGCTGAGCCCGCCGGGCCGGCCATGGGCGACCGCGAGCGCAACAAGAAGCGGCTGCTGGAACTGCTGCAGGCGGCGGGCACCGGCAACGCGCGCTGCGCGGACTGCGGAGCGGCGGGTAAGGGTGCGGCGGCCGGGAGCAGGACCCCTCTGCCGGCCAACCCCCTCTCCTTCCAGACTCGGTCCCGTCCCGGGTCGCCGCTGGCTCCGGGCATGACCCTTCTGACACCTTCGCAGCCGGGCCCCCAGCCCACCCATACCACGAATCTCCGCGCCGCGCCCTCGGCTGCCGCGCCCCCCGCACCCAGGCCCCTGACCTCCGCACCCTGGACCCCGACAGGGGCCCGGACCCGGGTGCCCTGGCCATCTTGTTCACCTTCCCCGCCGGACACCCCACGCGCTCGGTCCTCGGTCTCTGACATCTTTGCTCCGGACCCAGCCACCTCTCACGCCCATGTACCCAAACCTCCCCCACACCCAGGGGTCCCAGACCCCGGGCGTCTGAAGGCCCAGTGGCCCCTTTCCTGCCCGTGGCGCCCCGGGGTCCTCCCGGGTTCCCGCTCCGCAGCGCGCGGACCCTGCCGACGCCGACGCCGACGCCCAGGGCCCCACGGCCGGCTTCTCCACCTGCCGCTCCCCGGCCGGCCGCCCCAGTGTCGGCCCCTTCCTCCGCACTCTCCTCTCGGTTCCCCGGAGTCCTGTCACTTCCACTTCGCCCTCGCCGCAGCCTCTCGGCCCCATCCCTAGACGCCTTCCAGGATCTTCCTGGTGGGCTGACCATGCTGGTATCTTAGTTCACCCAAGGTGGGGGGACCGAGAGGAAAGGGCTCCTAGCGTGGGCAGCGCTGGGCATGGCCCAGGAATCCTAAGGCCAAGCCCTGCTTCTCCCAGCACCACCACCACCACCCCCAGCCCCGCAGCCAGCCCAGCCCTGGTCTCGGTGCCTGGCTCTCTCCATCCAACTACCCTTCCGCCCTCTCGCCCCGCAGATCCCGACTGGGCCTCCTACAAGCTGGGCATTTTCATCTGTCTCAACTGCTCCGGCGTCCACCGCAACTTCCCAGACATCAGCAAAGTTAAATCCGTGAGACTTGACTTCTGGGACGACAGTACTGTGGAGGTAGGACGGGAGCGGGGGTGGTGGAGGGAGGCACTGGTAGCCTTGGAACAGCAGAGCGGGGGTGGGGGTGGAGTTGGGGGGTGGGATGGAGGTGGGGGGTGGAGGCGGTGGGCAGGCCCTAGGGTACTGGCGTGGGGAGGATGGAGCATTCTCCAGGGGAAGAAACAGTGAAACGGTTCCAGAGAGAAGCAGTAACTAGCAAGAGAAAGCACTGCCTTTTAGACTCCCTGCTTAGCCAGAGACGGTGAGTGCAAGGCCCTGAGCCGGTTATTTCCCTGTTTAAATGTCTGTGTTCTGAGGATACCACTACCCCTTGACAGGGCTGCTCTAAGGATTAAATGTAAGCTCCTGCTTCCGGGTCTATAGTCCCGGTTCCAGCCCACCCCCTAGCCAGGAAGGGCACAGTTTTCTTTCCTGACCTATAGAGATGGAGGACACCTTCAGCTTGGATGGTAATACCATTTTGGCCACAGAAACTTCAGAGAACAAGCTGTTCTAAATTGTGCTGGTTGGCTGAGGATTTCAAGGACTATTGGAGAAGTAGACCCGTGTTTACTGAGTGCCCACTCTGTGCCTGGCACTGTGCTAGATGCTTATTTGTTGGACACATCACTGTAAGCCTACTACGTGCTGGGTATTAGGAAAGCACAATGAATAAGATACAGTCTCTGCCCATGTGGAGCTTACATTCTAGTGCAGGAGAAAGACAAGAAACCAGTAAACCAGCACACAGACCTGAAGATTGTAACCTTCCTTGTAACCCTCCTGTTATTATACTTTTTTCATTTTTGCAGTTCTAATCCCTGAACCTCAGGGGGTTAAGTAGTGCCCAAGGGTCACTGAGTAAGTGGCACAGCTGGGATGTCAAACCTGCTCTGTTGGGATCCAGAGCCCATTCAAATCCTGTGTCATAGTCTGGAGTCCCTGGGGATTGGGGGAGAATGGGATTCACTCTGCTCAAAGGATGTATATTAAAAACCTGATGTTTCTTCCCACATGTGCCCTCACCCCAGATATGCCACCCGTTACTGAGTGCCAGCTGTTGGCCAAGGCCAACTTTGGCATATCTGCCTCTGGGTGTGTCAGGTGTCCCAGGGCCCCAGTGATCATCCTGACCTACCTACTCCATGGGGCCAGCTCCAACTTCTTCTGTCCTCCAGCTATGTCTATCTCCTGCACGTAGCTGCTGGTAGTCCTGGCCATCTGTGGAGAGAGAGGGTGGGAGAAAGAACATGAGCTTTGGAGTTAGGTCTGGGTTCAAGTCCCAGCTCCTCACTTGCTAGCTGTGTCACCTTGGGTAAGTCACCTAACCTCTCTGAGCCCATTTCCTTACCTCTAATATGGGGATGATAGTATTAAAATGGTCTAGGGAATCGAATGAATCCACTAGGGTAAAAACCATAGAGTGCTCTGCCCATGTGAGCCACGGTTGTAGTGCCTCATTGTTCCAGGCTGTGGCTTCCCAGCAGCATGTATGACCAAGCCCAATAGGATGCATCAAACTCCAGGAGCGTTTCCTGACTCAGCCTAGGAGCCAGTGGGAAGAGTGGCCTTCTGGGTAGACAGTGGTTTCATTTCACATTTTTTCAAGTTCTAATATTACCCCAAGTTGCTCTTGTCTTACAGTTTATGAGCCACAATGGGAACCTCCGTGTGAAGGCCAAGTATGAAGCCAGAGTCCCTGCTTTCTACTATGTCCCCCAAGCCAACGACTGCCTGTGAGTGGGTGATTTCTTGGTCTCACTTCCCTGATCCCTGCTCCATCTCTAGTACCTTTGTGTGTGGTGGTCTTTTCCATGGACCTGGTGGATCCGGGAAAACATTTGGTACTATTGTGGAGAACACAGAGACCTGGCCTCATTCCCTCTTTACCTTTATTGCTTGGTTTATCACTTCCCCTCTCTGTGACTCAGTTTCCAGAGCTGTGAAATGGGGCATTTTCTCTATGATGGGCCCTTTGTCTCTGATGTTCTCATAGCCTACTCATAGTGGCTAATTTGATAGAGAAGAGGAACACTGTTTTTTGGGGGGGGAGGAGGTTTGGTAGAATGGGTGTGTTTTGGCTACTTCCTACGGAATGTCTTGAACTCAGCATAGCTCCAAAGCAGCTGTCTGGCCTCGGATGCCTACATAATCACCATAAAAATAATAGTAACCACTAATATTTATTGAACTTTACCTATGCACCAGGCTCTGTGCTAAATGCTTGTGTGCGGTAATTTGTTTAATTCTCTCAACGATTCTGAGATAGCACTGACATGGTCTCTATAGTATAGTGACATACCTGAGGTTCATAGAGACAGAACTGGGACTGACTAGCCCATCTGACACCAGGGCCTGGTGTTGGGTACCAGGGCACTGGGGAAATCTAATATAAGGAGGGAAGCTGGGAAGCAGCAGGAGGTTTCATGTCCCCTGGATATGAGGGGTCAGTGTGACCCTGGTACCTAGTGACCCCAACTTTCTTAGGACTGACTGTCTGAGCCTTAACCTCCCTCCTGGGGACTCAGCCTCACTGCCAGGGCTGTTAGATAGCATTCTGCCTCCACCCATACAAATGGGAAGAAGGTACCCTCTGGGCAAACACAGCCTCATAGCGGGTATGGCTTGCAGGAAGCAGGCTGCATTTCAGCCACCATTGTCTGCTAGCCTCAGCAGGAAGCTTTTGGACAGTGCACAAACTATACAACTCTACCCAGTACCCTGCCATTTCCCAGTAGTTAAACAACCGAGAGACTACTGATACAGCATGGAGTAGCAGGGGAGCTGCAGCTTTCTACTCAGAAGACTCCAGTATTGTTTCCTGACTCTACCACTATCTACCTGTGAGAAGGTGGACAAGTTACCAAACTTCTCTGAATCGTGGCATCCTCATCTCTGGAAATGTAGGTAATGATGCCTTTATCATGGCATGGTGGTAGAGATTAAATGAGATAATTTATGTAAAATGTCTTACAGGCCACCCAACAGGCTAGTTTTAAATCCATTTCTCAGTGTCACCTTCAGAATGCTGCCTGGTTCGTGGCCCAGGCGGAGGGATGTGCCAGGCTTAACTCCAGAGGGTCTGGCTCACCTTGCCTCACTGCTGCTACTCAGTGCTTGGCTGCAAGGAGAAAGGAATAAGAATTTGGTGAATACCTACTATGTGTTAGGCTTTATGCCAGCACTACAGCCACTACTTGTCATGATTCCAACCACAGCCCTACACCTTATCCCCTTTTAGTGGAACACCAATGGTCTTCTCCCTATAATTCTGGAAGTCCTCTAAATTCCCCACCTCCAGGACCAGGACTGGGGCCTCAGTCTCCGCTCCCTCTCCCAGCTCTGATCCTGTGGCTCAGGGTTTCACAGAAGGCTTGGTGACTCTCTGCAGTGAGCTGGGAGTGAGGGCTGTGAGAGAGTGAGAATTGCCTTAGGTAGGACTCCTGATTGTAAGTAACAGAAAACCAGTTTAAACCAGCTTAGGCAGGAGTGGGATTTTATGGATTCTGGGGATCAGACCGTAGGAGGGACAGAGATAGAGCCACCCTCAGGAAGGACAAGCCAGGGACTCAAATGCTATTCGGCCTCTCTCACTCTCTGTCTGGTTCTCATTCCTGCCCCTTTCTGTTGGCCAGGCTTCTTTCATACAGCTGGGAGCAAGGCTACTTCCAGGTCCCTGGCTCCAGATCACCAGCTCCAGCTCCCAGCTTGATGGTGAGAGGGCTTCCAATCCTTTGCCCTCTCAGCTTTACTCCTTTTACTCCACACAGCCTGGGGCAGAGCTCTGATTAGCGAGTTCAGGCCCAGTGCCCACTTCTGGGTCTTTCCCTGTGGGTCTGGAGTAAGGTCACAGAAATCTTGGAGCATTTACCTGGAAAAGGCAAGAGGGAACCAAACAATTGAAATAAGTTTTCTGGGCAGCCCCGGTGGCCCAGCGGTTTAGCTCCACTTGCAGCCAGGTTGTGATCCTGGAGACCCGGGATCTAGTCCCACGTCAGACTCCCTACATGGAGCCTGCTTCTCCCTCTGCCTGTCTCTCTCTCTCTCTCTCTCTCTCTCTCTCTCTCTCTCTCTGTGTGTGTGTGTGTGTCTCTATGAGTAAATAAATAAAATGTTTTTTTTTTTTAAAAAAGAAAAGTTTTCTACACGGGGTCACGGATGACAATATTTGCTTCGGCTAACATTAAACTCCTACTATATGCTGATCGTGGTACTAGGCCCTTTTGTATATATTTAAACTCCACAACAACCCTGAGGGGAAGGTAGGTATAGTATTATTGAACTATTCCCCCAAGGTCAGAGGAGTTAAGGAACTTGTGTTGGTCACACAGTGGATAAATAGTAGAAGAGGACCAGGTCCCAGGTGATTGGACCCCAAGATCATGGCTCTGTCCAGTGTAGCATGCCCAGAATTTATGGGCAAGCCACAGGAAGAGGCTCATGGACTCCCTTAGCTTCAACTTATGAGCATGCAGTGGGAGGGGGACTGTAGATAGTCCAGGGGAGCTGGTTGACCTAGAGGGCTGGGCTGGGGTTGGAGTAGCCCAGTGTTTTTTATGTAGCCCCTTGGGGGAATATTTTCCCCAAGGACACCCTGCAATATCTGAAGACATTTTGGGGTGTCATAACTAGGGAGGGGGCACTACTGGCATCTAGAGGATAGAGGCCAGAGATGCTGCTAAACATTCTTCCGAACACAGGATTCTTCCCCTCACCACAACAAAGAATTAGCCCCAGATGTAAGGTACTGAGGCTGAGCAGCCCTGGGTTGTCTGAGCAGGCAGCTGCTGTGATGCGCCACTCTGTGTGAAGAGGATGCATCAGACAGCAGTTGACCAAAGGTTCTTTCTTTTTTTTAGAGTGTTAAAGGAACAGTGGATTCGAGCTAAGTATGAAAGACAGGAATTTATGGCCGATGGGAAAACCATGTCATCCCCAGGTAAAGTTATTTCCATCATCTTGTGAAGTCTGTGTTCTAATGAATTCTAGACAATGAAGTGCCTGGCTACTGGAACAGGGCCCAGTTCAGACAGTATCTGCCGACCTCACTCTGGCCACAGAGGCCAAGATGTGGGTTCCTCTGTCTCTGAAACAGCAACACGTCAGCTGGTAGAGTTTTATGGTCTGAGTGGTCAAGAAGCATTTTTATCTCAGGTCCCTGCAGGGCCACACATGCATGTAGAGTCTTAGTATAGAATTGCAGAAAGACTCACCCGCCAGGCAGAACCTTTAGAAAAGAGGCACCCCTGCTCTTGTGAGTATGACTCATGGTGTGCATAAGACTTGGCAAGGTGCATGAGAAGGATTTCAGCCTCCCTTCACACCTTTGTGTGGGGCACAAGCTCATCGCTGGCCCCTGACCTGGGGTCGTTTCTGCCCAGCTACTCTGAGTCCAAGCTGACACTGACCCAGAGAACAAAGCATACAAAACCACCATGAGGACCAGCGGCAGCCAGAGCTCAGTGTTCTGAGCTACCCAGAGCTCACAGTATTCTTCAGCTAGCAGGTACCCAGAGGTCACTCATTAGGTCCACCCCCTGGAGAGTTTCATTAGGCCAATGTTGACATGATGTTGGGCAGGACCATATGGGCATCTTTCAGAATCATCCAGTTTCTCGGGACTTAGCCTCCTTAAGAGTTTACTCTATCTTATGAAACAGCCAAAGAAGGAAGTTAGGGAGGGCCCAACTGAAATCATGAGACATTGCAAATTTGGCCCCAGACAAAGTCCGAACGTGCTGCAGCTGACATGGCAAAGTTATATTTTAGATATTTTAGCCCTGGGCGGAGCGTGCATTCTACCCTCAAGACCCTATGAGGTTTGAGAACTGCTTGTTCATATTAAGGATGTGAGTGTTCCCTCTGTCTTGTCCTTGGTGGCTAAGGTAACCGAGAAGGGTTCCTGTGGAAGCGAGGGAGGGACAATGCTCAGTTCCTGAGGAGGAAGTTTGTCCTGCTGGCAAGAGAAGGCCTCCTGAAGTACTATACAAAAGAAGAGGTAAGAGCCCCAACCAGGGATCCCTGGGTGGCGCAGCGGTTTGGCGCCTGCCTTTGGCCCAGGGCGCGATCCTGGAGACCTGGGATCGAATCCCACGTCAGGCTCCCGGTGCATGGAGCCTGCTTCTCCCTCTGCCTGTGTCTCTGCCTCTCTCTCTCTCTGTATGACTATCGTAAATAAAATAAAATAAAAAAAAAAGAGCCCCAACCAGCAAGGGGTTGCTCCCTGAGCACTGGCTCTCACCCAACTCAGGTCACATTTGAATCAGTGGTGCTGTGTCTTCTGGATAATCTTGGCCACTGAGCGTTCAGCACTGCATTGTTACTTTTCCATGGCTATGTGATCAGTCCAGTCCACAGAAAACACACCTTCTCTTCACCTAGAATCAGCTTGGATGTGTCCACAATAAAGTCTTGGATGACTACTTGAGTTTACCGTATTTATGAATGCACTCAAGAAATTTATTGAGCACCTGCTGTATACTAGACATTCCCATAGGCACTGGAGCTACAGCAATAAATAAAACGAAGCTCCCATTCTCATGGGGCTTTCATTCTAATGAAAGGAGACAGATGGTAACCAAAATGTACATCAATATATGATATACGAGGTAGTAGTAAGTTCTGTGAAGAGAAATAAAAGTGGGTGAAGAGTGAGAGGATGATGGGGCTGATATCATTCAGGGCTTAGGGAAGGCCCCTCTGATGACATTGGAGCAGAGAAATGAATAAAAGTGAGCAAGTCAGGGTCACCTGTGCAGCTCAGTTGGTTAAGTGCATCTGGCTCTTGGTTTCTGCTCAGGTCATGATCTCGGGGTCATGAGATTGAGCCCCGTGTCAGGGTCCGTGCTCAGGGTGGGAGTCTGCTTGGGTTTCTCTCTCTCTCCCTCTGCCCCTCTCCACTTTCTCTCTTTTATTATTATTATTTTTAAAAGATTTTATTTATTTATTCATGAGAGACACAGAGAGAGGAAGACATAGAGAGAGAAGCATCTTCCTGTGGGGAGTCCGATGTGGGACTCAATCTCAGGACCCCAGGATTACTACCTGAGCCAAAGGCAGCCACTCAACCATTGAGCCACCCAGGTGCCCTCTCTCTCTGTTTCTCAAATAAATAAAATCTTAAAAAAAAAAAGGTGAGCAAGTTATGTGCGTATGTGAGGGCAGAGTAGAAGCAGTAGAGGGAACATGATGTGCATAAACCCTGAACATGGTCTTGGCACAGCTGTGTGCCAGTTAGAAAATGACTCCTCTGAGATGGTGTAGCCCTGGGGCCCAGGTCAGATAAGCGGAAGCCTAGATTGCAGTTCTTGTCTCAGCCAGGGACTTTTTATTAGTGCACAAACTATTTGCCCATAAGCCACAGCCCTGGCCTGAACTGGTTGGTGGGTCAAGGAAGCCAAAGTGACCTGTACAGAGGGAGCAAAGAAAAGGGTGGAAGGAGATGAACTCACATGGGTAAGGACTTTGTAGGGCCTAAGAAGACTCAAGATTGTTGTTTTTTTTTTTTTAACAGTTTTATCAAGGTATAAATTCACAGAGGTGCCTGGGTGGCTTAAGTGTGGGACTTGTGACCTCAGCTCAGGTCTTGATCTCAGGGTCATGGGACCAAGCCCTGTGTCCAGCCCATATTGCATCACATCAGGCTCCACACACAATGGAAAGCCTGCTCCAGATTCTCTCCCCCTCTCTCCCTCTGTTCCTCTCCCACGTTTGCACTTTCTCTCTTTCTCTAAAATAAATAAATAAAATTTTCAAAAAAGATATAAATTCACATACCATACAATTCACCCATTTAAAGCATGCAACTAATGGCTTTTAATATATTCACAGAATTGTGCAACTGTCAACACAATTTTAGAACATTTTCATAACCCCCAAAAGAAATCTCACACCCATTAGCCCTATCTTTACCCACCATAACCCCCAGCCCCAGAAGACCAATGATCTACTTTCTCTGTATTTATAGACACCTCAAGTATATGGACTATGTGGTGTTTAGTAACAGAACTCTTTTATTTCGCATGTGTGTTCAAGGTTCATTTATGTAGCATGTATTGTAATTCTTTTTATTGCCAAGTATTGGTCCATTGTGTGGATATTTCATCTTTTCACTAGCTGATAGACATTTGAGTTATTTCCACTTTCTGGTAAGTATGAATAATGCTCCTATGAACACTGGTGCACAAATTTTCATGTGGACGTGTTTCCATTCTTCTTGGGGATATAGCTAGGAGTGGAGTTGCTGGGTCGGGTGGTAACTGTCTTTACTCTGTCACACTTTTCCAAAGTCCCTGCACCATTTTATGTCTCCATCAGCAATGAGTGAAGGTTCCAATTGCTCCACATCTTCACCAACACTTGCTGTCATCTGTCTTTTTTTTTTTTTAAAAGATTTTTATTTACTTTATTCGAGAGAGAGAGCGAGCATGAATGAGGAGAGGGGCAGAGGGAGAAGCAGACTTCCCACTGACCACCCCCCCCACCCCCACCAACACAGGGGTCAATCCTAGGATCCCGGGATCACGACCTGAGCTGAAGGCAGATGCTCAACCGCTGAGCCACTCAGGCACCTCGTCATCTATCTTTTTGATTATAACCATTTTGGGGGATATGAGTTAATATCTGGTTGTGATTCTAGTTTGCATTTCCTTGATGGGTATTGATATTGAACATTTTTTCATGTGCTTATTGGCCATTTATTTATCTTCTTTGGAGAAATGTCTGTTCAGATCCATTTCTAATATTTTAATTAGTTTAGTTGGCTTTTTATTACTGAGTTTTTATAGTGCTTTATGTATTGTAGGTATAAGACCATATTGAATACATGATTTACAAAAAAATGTAGGCTTTTTGGATTTTACTCTGAGGTGAGAAGCCACAGGACGGTATTGAGCAGAAAAATAATACAATTTGATTTAAGCTCTTTATATTTTGGGAATATAAGTCTTGTGATGGATGAACATTTCATGGGGACAGTTTCTTCTGTACTCTTATTCCTACTTGCATCAGGGACCTTTATGATACGGCTCTTTTATTTATTTTTAAAAGATTTTACTTTTAAGTAATCTGTACACCCAACATGGGGCTCAAACCCACAAATCCAAGATCATGAGTCATGCTTTAGCAAAGCCCCGGTGGCTCAGCGGTTTAGTGCCGCCTTTGGCCCAGGGCGTGATCCTGGAGACCCAGGATCGGGTCCTGCGTCGGGCTCCCTGCATGGAGCCTGCTTCTCCCTCTGCCTGTGTGTGTCTCTCTCTCTCATTCTCTCTCTCTCTCACATGAATAAATAAATAAAATATTAAAAAAAAAAGAGTCATGCTTTACTGACTGAACTGGCCAAGTGTCCAATTTAAATTTTTTTTAAAGGCACACTCTGGTTGCTTCTGGGGTCAGGGTGGGGCAGAGAGGAAACAAGAGTGGAAGGAGAGAAAGCAGTTAGGAAGCCATTGCAATAATGTGAGGAATCAGGGTGCCTGAGTGGCTCAGTCAGTAGATCATATGACTCTTGATCTCAGTGTTGTGAGTTTGAACCCCACATTGGGCATAGAGTTACTTCAAAGAAATAAAAAATAGTTAATTAAAAAAATACTCAATTGAGGAATAATGGTGGATTAGATGAAATGGTGGTGAAAGAGATAGTTAGAGGTGATCAGATTTTGGAAGTGGAACCCACAAGATTTACTGACAGATTGGCCATGGGGTATGAGAGTAAGAAGAATCAAGGCTAGTTCGCAGCTTTTTGCCCTATGTAACTAGAAGGACAGATTTGCCATTTACTGAAAAGGCAAAAACTTAGCCCTCTGAAGGGATGATCAAGAGCCCTTTTTGGTTTGAGATGCTTATTAGTCATCTAGGTGGAGACACTGAGAAGGAAGTTGGATATATGAGCTTGGAGGTCTGGGGAGAGTTTGGAGGTGGAGTCCTCAGCATTGCAATGGGTTTAAGGATGGGACAGGCTGGAATCGCCTGGGCAGGGAATGTGGGTAAATGAGAAAATATTTTTTTGTTTTGTTTTGTTTGTATCCCACATGTGTTTATTGGTATAGTTTCCCACTCCTCTTTTTTCAGGGTGCTTTTAGTGATGCTTCTGTCAGAGGGAGCATCCTTCTGTAAGCCTTGCCCTTCCTCCTGTAGACTGGCAAAGGACGGTGGTGCAGCCAACACACAAAACTACCTTTTGTGCATGGTTAAGGATGGTGGTGATTTTTTTGTAGCATCCTGGGCACTTCTCGGCCATAAAGTAGGGGTTGGGACTCTGCACCAGGTGCTGCTTCTTGTGCTTCCTCTTCTGAGGATAGTTGGATGAGGTCCTTCACAAGGAGCATGTTCTTGTGGGGAGGTGGTCACCCAAAAAGGAGTGAAAGCAGAAATCCTAGGACTGTGTATTTTAGTTGCTTCTTGCTGAATGAGAAACCATCATAAAGCTTAGTGGCTTAAAACATCAGTTTATTAGTTCTCTCAATCTTGAGGGTCAGGAATTTGGGCAGGCCTTGGCTGTTGCAATGTACTCCATGGGGCATCAGTCAGGTCATTCACCCTGCTGCATTGAGCTGGTGGTTGGGCTGGTCGAGAAGGCCCAGGAAGCTTTCACGCATATGTCTGGTGCCTTGGTTACTACAGGTAGTCGCTGTCTGTCCACATGGTTGTTCCTTATTCAGGAGTCTGCATTGAACTTCTTTGCAGTGTGGCAGTTGGCCTCCCCTAAGTAAAGGGGTAGGCTACTCAGCCTCTTAAACCCGAGGCCAAGAACTAACTTCTGTTGATCAAAGCAACTCAAGCAGCCAGCGCTGATTCAAGAGGAGGGCATATAGATGACCCTCGCCTCCCTTTGTGGGGTACAATGGTGTGTGTATACCGGGAGGGCCAGAATCAGTGAGGGCCATCTTTGGAGATTATTTACCACACTGAGCTCCAAGACATTGCAGTATTTAGAAGGCATAAAAATGAGAAGTCTCCAGCAGAGAATGTGAAGGAGTAGCCAAAAAATCAGAAAAGGACAAACTTTGAGCACATCAGCTATCACCTGACTCCATTTCCTATATGTAGACCTTTTTCTTTCTTTTTTTTTTTTAATTTCCCCTGTTGGGCAATCTCCCTGACAGTCAGGAAAATGCAAATTAAAGCCATGTGAGATATACTACATACTCACCAGAATAACTGAAATTAAAAAGACTGACTCCATCTAAAGGGTGTGGAGAAACTGAAACTCTCATATGTTGCTGGTGGAATTGTAAAATGACACAACCACTTGGGAAAACCATTTTGCAGTTTTTAATAATGGTAGATATACACTTAACCATATAACCCAGCCATTCCACGCCTAGGTATTTACTGAAGAGGAACAAAGACAAATGTCCACAAAAATATTTGTATGCAAGTGTTCACATATGCTTTTTTTTTTTACATTTTTATTTATTTATGATAGTCACACACAGAGAGAGAGAGGCAGAGAAGCAGGCTCCATGCACCGGGAGCCCGACGTGGGATTCGATCTGGATCTCCAGGATCGCACCCTGGGCCAAAGGCAGGCGCTAAACCGCTGCGCCACCCAGGGATCCCTCATATATGCTTTATTCATAAAAACCCCACAAAGATGAGGAAAGAACCCAAAGGTCCACTCACACTTGAATGAACAAATTATAGTATATCCATAGAATGAATATTACTCAGCAATAAAAAGGGACAAACTACTAATAAATGCAACAATGTAGATGAATCTAAAATAAATTATTCTGGGGGTGCCTGGGTGGCTCAGTTGGTTAAGTGTCTGCCTTCAGCTGAGGTCATGATCCCCAGGTCCTAGGGTTGAGCCTAGCATCAGGGCTCCTTGCTCAATGGGGAGCCTGCTTCCCCCCCTCCCTCTCCCTCTGCCTGCCACTCCCCCTGCTTATGCTCTCTGTCAAGTAAATAAATAGGGACACCTAGGTGGCTCAGTGGTTGAGCATCTGCCTTTGGCTCAGGTCGTGATCCTGGGGTCCTGGGATCGAGTCCTGCATCAGGCTCCCCACAGGGAGCCTGCTTCTCCCTCTGCCTATTTCTCTGCTTCTTTCTGTGTCTCTTATGAATAAGTAACTAAAGTCCTTAAATAAATAAATAAATAAATAAATAAATAGATAGATAGATAAATAAATAAATAAAATAAATTATTCTGAGCAAAAGAAGCCTTATCCAAGAGTATGCACTATATAATTCCATTTATACAAAGTTCTAGAACAGGCAAGGCCACTTTATATCAATAGAAAGGAGATAAGTGGTTGTCTGGGGTTGGGGTAGGATGGAAACTGACTGCGAAGGGGGATGCAGAAACTCTTGAGGTGATAGTGATGCTCTATATACCTTTTTTTTTTAAGATTGTATTTATTTATTAGAGAGTGAGAGAGTAAGAGGGCAAGCAAGCAGGGGGAGGAGCAGAGGGAGAAGGACAAGCAGACTCTGCCCTGAGCATGGAGCCCAACTTGGGGCTCAATCCCGTGACTCTGGGATCATGATCTGAGACAAAGCCAAGGGTCAGATGCTCAACTGACTGAGCCACCCAGGTGCCCCCATGATGGTCTATATCTTGAGTGTGGTGCTACTTCTCCAAAGTCCATTTTTTTAAACTTTTTTCTTTTGTAAGTAAACTATATTCCCAACATGGGGTTTGAACTCATAACTCCGAGATCAAGAGTTACATGCTCTACCAACTGAGTCAGTCAGGTGTCCTGATTGTGGTGGTACTTCCGTGAGAATATCTATTTGTTAAAAAATCAAGCTGTACTTTTAAAGATTTATTTTTATTTATTTATGATAGACATATTAAGAGAGAGAAAGAGAGAGAGAGGCAGAGACACAGGCAGAGGGAGAAGCAGGCTCCATGCCGGGAGCCCAACGTGGGACTGGATCCCAGGATTCCAGGATTGCGCCCTGGGCTGAAGGCAGGCGCTAAACCGCTGAGCCACCCAGGCATCCCTGTTGAGGTATAATTTATAAATAATAAATGAAACTCATTTTAAAAGTACAGCTTGGGGGATGCCTGGGTGGCTCAGCGGTTTGGTGCCTGCCTTCAGCCCAGGGCGCAATCCTGGAATCCTGGGATCCAGTCCCACGTTGGGCTCCCGGCATGGAGCCTGCTTCTCCCTCTGCCTGTGTCTCTGCCTCTCTCTCTCTCTCTCATGAATAAATAAAATCTTTAAAAAAATTATACCTCAACAAAGTTGATTGAATGAAAATTAATAATGATATACAATTTCATACCCATCATATTGGCAAAAAATTTAAATCTGCCATTCAGATGTTGGTGAGGACATAGGGGAAGTGGAACTCCTCTATGATTGTGTTATTCACTTATGTTGTTTAGTATTTAGAATTGAAGTAAATATTGGTACAACCGATGTGGAGAGCCATAGAGCAGAATAATTTGCTGGCCCTCTATAGTTCTTTTTTAACCTAGGCCCCATGCCCACTGTGGGGTTTGAACTCATGACCCTAAGATTAAGAATCGCATGTTCTACCAACTGAGCCAGCCAGGCATGCCCCAAGGAACTGAAGTTTTATTTTTATTTAATTTTAATTTAAAGAGCCACATGTGGTTAATGGCTGCCACAGGTCTAGAAGGTTTGTGCCATTTTTCTGTTAGCAATTACAAAGAAAACACTCTTTTCCCTTCCTTGCTGAGTATTGGTTAGTGCTTAACCCGTGTTCCAGACCCCTGCCAACAGAAAAGAGTGCAGGAGGGAGCTCCCTAAGGGCCCTATACCTGCTTTTATCTGTTTTATTTTATTTGTTTGGTTTCCATAGATAATATACTTCAGAAAAAGTTCTGTGGCTTAAAGTTTTTTTTGTTTTGTTTTGTTTTTTGAAGATTTTTCTATTTTCATTCACTCATGAGAGGCACAAAGAGAGAGGCAGAGACATAGGCAGAGGGAGAAGCAGGCTCTCTGTGGGGAGGTTGATGCAGGACTTCATCCCAGGACCCCAGGATCTCACCCTGAGCCGAAGGCAGATGCTCAACCACTGAGCTACCCAGGTGCCCCTGTGGCTTAAAGTTTTGAAAAGTCCTCAGTTAAGGCCTTTCTAGGCCCCATCCCAGCTCCAAGAAGCCAATCCGCAGGAGAGCAGAATATCTGTGCATCTCAATATTAGAACAGGGACGTATAAAAGCCCTGAAGAGTTAGCAGTTGGTTATTGGTTTGTATTAAGGCCTTGGTGAAGGTGGCGAGAAGTCACCTGCCTCCTCTCTTTCAGGGTAAAGGCCCCAAAGCTGTCATCAGCATCAAGGACTTGAATGCTACCTTCGAGACAGAGAAGATAAGGAACCCCCATGGGCTGCAGATCACCTACAGGAAAGAGGGCCACATCAGGAACCTGTTCGTGTACCATGAGAGTGGGAAGGTGAGATGACCAGCATGGCCACCCTGGCCCCCAGCCCGCACTCCGAGATTCTGCAGGCCTGGCTTGCTAGCTCCCTGGTTCAGCTGCTGCTTGGCATTTGCTGCTGCTGTTTGCCTCATCTCTCATCATTTTCCAATCTGAGAGAGCCATACAACACAGCAGCAGGGAGTGAGAGCAGGGAGAGAAATCTGGCAGGCACCATGGATGTGTCTGGATAGTGAGCAGCCACTAAGGGGACTCCAGTTAGCAGGAAGGGCCGTGCCCAGGGGTGACAAACCCAGGTAGGGCAGAGATTCTGAACATGGGAGCAGGGGAGAAGGGAAGATCCTGCAGCCCTGAACTCCAAGGCCTTGCTTCTCACATGTGGTCTTGTACCCACAGTATTAGGATCACCTGGGAGCTTGCTAGGAACAGTCTCAGTCAGACCCACCTGAACCTACTGAATTAGAGACTCCATTTTCACAGGATCTCCAGGTGACCCTTAAGCACATTAAAGTTTAAGAAATAGGCTCTGCCAGAGAAGAGCAAGCCAATAGTATATGTCCAGGAGAATAAGCTGGGTCAGAATGTGTGGAATCTCATGACTGGACAAGGGGCATGGATGCAATGTGGAGGTGCAGAGAGGTAGAGGTGAGGGCAGACATTTAGTGAGTGCCTATTGATTTTGTGCCAGGCATTGTTCTTGGCAATCACCACACATCTTTTTTTTTTTTTTTAAGATTTTATTTAATTGGGGGAGAGAGAGAGAACACAAGTTGGGAAGAGGCAGAGGGAGAGGGACAAGCAGACTCCATGCTGAATGCAGAGCCCGATGTGGAGCTCAAACCCACAACCCTGGGATTATGACCTGAGCTGAAATCAGTAGTTAGATGCTTCATGGATTGAGCCACCCAGGAGCCCCATTCTATATCATTTCTTATTCCTCAAAACAGTCCAGGAGATGTTTTAACCCTATGTTACTGAGCCGTGGGCACATTACATAACTTGTTCAGGGTCACCCAGATTACGGTTCCTGAGTCCTACACCTATTTACCACCCCATGTGCCTCTGCTGGAGGGACAATCCTTGGCAGCAGGAGCCAGGAACCTGAGGCAGGGACTAGATCTTCCCAAGGGGTGCTAGCACTGGGATGCTTTCCTCATAGTCTGGGCAGAGTTCCTGGTGGTGGAGTCTGAAGAATAGGGGTTTGGAGTCAGAAACTGGAGCCCTGGTTCTTCCACTCTGGGCTGAGTTACTTGGCCAAGTCCCTTCCCCTCCTCCATCTGCTTGGTTATGGATTTGAACACCTACCCCCCAGAGGGGTTTTGAGGGTTGAATGACCATGAACCATGAATGTCAAAGAATTTCATTACTGTGAAGTACATTTCTTTTTTTTTTTTTCTTTAAGATTTTATTTATTTAGGAGAAAGATGGTGAGAAAGAGCACCACTAGGGGGGCAGAGAAGGGAGAAACAGTATCACCACTGAGCAGGGAGCCCAAGGCTTGGCTTGATCCCAGCACCATGGGATCATGACCTGAACTGAAGGCAGATGCTTAACTGAATGAGCCACCCACATGCCCCTACAGTGAAGTGCATTTCAAACATTAACCTCTGCTAATTATTTGCTCATGATTGTAGCAGTTGTAAAGGGTAAAATCTTATGGGCAATTTCACATCTGTATCACTTACTCATTCACTTTTTTTTTTTAAGATTTTATTTACTGGGGAGTGGGTGAGGGGCAGAGGGACAAACAGACCCATCTGTGGAATGCAGAGCCCGCCAGGGGCTGAATCCCAGGACCCTGAGTTCGTGACCTGAGCTGAAGTCAGACACTTAATCAACTGAGCCACCCAGGCACCCCATTCAGTGACTCTTTTGGTTAATCCTTATTGTGCTTCGAAGTACTGCCCTGAGTTCTAGAGAGTGTAGTAATGAATAGTTAGAGCCATGGGTGGGCCTCAAGCATCCCAGAGTCTGGAGAGGGAGTCAGATGGGAAATGGGCATTGTTGATACTGTGTGATGGGGTGTCAGTCATGCTGGGGACACATAGGAGACATGTCAGTGGCCTAGTCTGGGCTGGCATGGGTAGAGGGCAATCAGAGGAAAGACTTTCTATTTAAAAAGTATGTGAATATGTTGAAAAAGTGGACACTCAAACCAGCTTAAAGGGGGTATGAATGGAAAATATACAAGTTTTTTTTTTTTTTTTAAGAGCAACAGATATGACTGGGTCTCCTGAGAGATTAGTCAGGAACTCTGTGTGTCTGTGTGTGTGTGTGTGTGTGTGTGTGTGTGTGTATGTGAGAGAGAGAGAGAGAGAGAGAGAGAGAGAGAAGGAAAGGACTCTCACAGGAATACATTATTCTATAGCACCAGAAGTACAAGTAAATCATATTTATTTCTCTAAATTCAAGGACCCCCCCATTCCCCAAAGTGGCAAGAAATCTAATATCCATCATCTTTCTTGACTTCCTCACTTAGTTCTACCATAACCTTGGGACTGGGAGACACAGAGGAGATTCCCGGTTCTTTGTCCATGGTCCTTGGTCTTCGAACCATGGTCCATGGGTTCTCTGCTGTTGCCCTATGTCCATTTTGGATGCCAGTGGCCCCCCAACCCCTCCATGCCAGTCGCTATATGAGGGCTTTTGCTGAAGTGCCCAAGGTCTCTAATACTTAGGGTAACTGCCCCCCTTCCAGGTACCCCCCCCCCCAGCTGTGGAGCATCTGACCACCTGGGTATGGCCATTCTCTTTCCCTCAATGCCCCAGCTTCTCTGTTAGATAGGCATAAACAGGGGCTGCAGACTCATGCCTGCAGGGGCCAGGTAGGTCATTTGAATATGGAATGGGCAACTATAAGGCTATAAAGCAGGAAGACCTGTATGGAGGACTGAAACAAACAAAACTTTGGAACCAAACAAATGTGTATGCAGGTTGGATTTGGCCCTAGGGTTACCAGTTAGTGACCAAAGTCTGAGTGGGTGTTTTCTGGGACCTGCATAGGTTATTAATGCCCAGGACAAGAGAGCTAACAATTCTGGAATACTGGGCCAGCCTGCTTGGCTGCTGAGAAAGGGTCATTATGTTGCATTCCTGGGAAACTGTATTTGAATGAATTTCTCAATCACTGTATTACATCGAGGTGGAGCAGACCAGCTATTTGAACAAATCTTTCAGCTTCCCAATTCCAAATTATTTGGGAGAAAGGCCCTGATAAGCCCAGGCTAGCCTCTTCATTGGTCCAGGCCTGACCTAGTTCCTGTGGCCAAGAAGGGGAAGATCCTAGCAGCAAATGTGGCTGCAGTTGTGGGTGAGTGGTGTGTGAGAATGGGTGGGGCGGTTCTTATAGAAGCAGGGCTTGGGCTGAGCAAAAATCCACAAAAACAACTAAACTAAACTTCAGGATAAGAAGAATGTGGAGTGCCTGGGTGGCTCAGTCGGTTAAATGTCTGTCTGCATTTGGCTCAGACATTTGGGTGGTGGGATCGAGCCCTGCATCAGCTCTCTGCTCAACGGGGAGCCTGCTTCTTCTGCCTGCTGCTCCCCCTGATTGCGTTCTCCCATTCTCTCACTAATAAATAAATAAAATCTTTCTTTTTATTTAAAAAAATTTTTTTAAGATTTATTTTTATTTATTTATGATAGACATAGAGAGAGAGAGGCAGAGACACAGGCAGAGGGAGAAGCAGGCTCCATGCAGGGAGCCCGACGCAGGACTCGATCCTGGGACTCCAAGATCGCGTCCTGGGCCAAAGGCAGGCGCGAAACCGCTGAGCCACCCAGGGATCCTCTCTCTCTCTCTCTCTCTCTTTTTTTTAAAGGATACGTAGAATATTCTAGGTAAAAGCTATGTGTGGGGTGAGGGAAGAGAGGTGGATTAAGTAGAGTGTACAACATGGAAGGATTGCAAATGCTTTTGTATGGAGGGAGCTCAGAGGGCGAAGTGGTCATACTAGAGAACTTAGACTTTTCACCTGAGGGTAGCAAAGAGGACTCTGGGGGGGCCCTGGGTGGCTCAGTGGTTGAGCATCTGCTTTTGGCTCAGGTCATGATCCCAGGATCCTGGGATTGAGTCCCTCATCAGGCTCCTTGCAAGGAGTCTGCTTCTCCCTCTGCCTGTGTCTCTGCCTCTCTCTCTGTGTCTCTCATGAATAAATAAATACAATCTTTAAAAAAAAAATCATTCTGGCTGCTGTGGGGAGGACCTATTGCAGAGCAGCAGAGCCAAGGCACAGCCAGCTAGACAAGTGGTTCACCAGGTCCTTATAAGGTAACTCACACTGCTAAGGGCACACTCCCCCAGAGTGACACTGGCAAGTCCAAGCCAGCTTTGGCCCAAGTTGCACGCCAGGTGACGACCATCCCCATTGAAGGGAATCCCCAGGTGTACTTGCCCCCATGTGAGAGCCAGTCTTTGACATCTGAGGGCCCTTCCTCCTCCAATTATGTCCCACTGACCAGCATTGCATCACCAGAGAGCCGGTTAGGGATTCAGGATCTGAGGCCTCACCTACCTCAAACCCACTAGACCCAAATCTGCATTTTAAAGAGATCCTCAGGTGATTCTTACACACTTTGGAAAGGGCCAAGCATGGCTCAAGACCATTACCTAACTCTAGCATAGTTCTCCTTGGTCTTTCTTCATGGCTCTGGACCTCTCTGTCAGTGGCTTCCCACCTGCTCAGGTGAGCTCCCCAGGCTCTGGCATCATTCTCCCACATGCCTGTGATCAGGCCTCTAAGCAGAATTGGGGGTGTTGACACTGAAGACCCAGCTAACTTCCTGCCACCAGACTCAGCTCCCCACTACTCCATCTCACAGGATATCTATCCTCATTTTTTCTCCACAGGAGATAGTGGACTGGTTCAATGCCCTCCGTGCAGCCCGTCTGCAATACCTAAAAACGGCCTTTCCTGAGCTCCCAGAGTCTGAGGTGAGCTAAATGTGGACCCCAACTTCCTTTAAAAAAAAAAAAATTTATTTTGAGGGAGGGAGGGTTGGAGAGAGAGAGAGAAAGAAAGAAGCAGACTCCCTGCTGAGTGTAGAGCCTGATGCGGGGCTTGATCTCATGACCTAGGCTGAAACCCAGAATCAGATGCTTAACTGACTGAGCCACCTAGGTGCCCCATGAACCCCAGCTTCTGAGTCTCCTCTCTGCCACCTCCTCTCCTTGTCTGCTGACCTCAAAAATACTCAGAGGCCCAACTAGCTTTGTTTGTGAACAAGACTTTGAGAGAAACGAAAGGCTTTCTTTAGGGGATTATGGCCTCACACATGGCATGGCAGCCTCCAAAATGTAGGTTGCCTTTTGGATGCAGAGCCACCATCCCCAGTGTCAAGGGGCTTGGAATTTGGGCATCTCTTTCTGATACCTTCTCCCATTGAAATGTGCAAATGATCCCTCATGGGCCTTCATGGGCTTTTAAGCCCATTTTATCTTGTATTGCCTTTTATCTAGTAATCCCTTATAGCAGACAGCTAGGTGGGGTGATTGTTCCTATTTTACTGATGAAAACTGAGTCCCAGGAAGGTCAAGTGAATACCAGAGAGTGCTCTTCCCACTCTAATGTCCTCCCTTTGCCCTTTTGTGTTCTGGTCTCGGGAAGGCAATGGGATCTTCTCCATTACAGTTCTAATAGGGGCAGTTGGCCTTCTGTAGCCAAGAACAGGGTGCTCCTGAGAACTTCATTTTGGTTGTCCTCAGACATGTGGGGCATCCATCTACAACTCTCAGGTGTGTGGGGCAGAGGACGCTGCCTTGAACCAGGAGGCTTGGGCTCTCATGGATGCTCTGTTGCTAACTCACTGTTTGTCACTAACATCACTTCTCGGAACATCTGCTTCAATGTCTGGAAGATGGCTGTTGGTCTGGGTCATCCTCAGGGTCCCTTCCACCTCAGAGGTGCTATGGTCTGGGGTCTGCTTTAGGCTCTACTCTAGGAGGATTTTGTAAATGATGGGGGTGGAGACACTGTATTAATCCCAGGACTTTCTTATTCCAAACTGTTACACCTTCCTTGAAAACCTAAATGCTCCTTAATTCCAGAGTTTGCAGGGAGCTAAGTTTTAGAAACAGGCTACCCCTCCAGGCCTAGCAATGCACTGAGATGGCAGTTCTCTGTGAGTGACTCCAGCCAGGCCTGCGTCAGGACCCTCTGGTTCTGTGGAGTCAGCACCCAGTATGAGCGAGTGCACAATCTGTGGGCAGGGCTTGTGCATGCTGAGTGCTGACTGGAGACTTCGGAGGACAAAGTGCAGACTCTCAGCTTTAGTCATCTAGGCTGGCTCTTCAACTTTGTTGACCCCTGCAGAGGAAATTGGTTTTTGGCCAACCCCTCAATGTCCTCTTGCCTCCCCTCATCCACCATGAGTCTCCTCCCCACCTCCATCTTTCTGCTGCCTTTCCTCCCCCTGTCACTAGGTATGGCCTGAGAGTCTGGACTACCACCTGGACCTCAGTTCAGGCTGAGGGATCCGGGGGCCAGACACCTGGGAGTTCCAGTGTGGGGGGTGGTCCCATACTAAGAAATGTGTGGCCTCTGAGGTCAGAGAAGCTGATGTGTTACCTGAGGCATGTCACCTCACCATTCTGAGCTTCAGTTTGCTCATCTGTCACCATGGGGACAATGCCCAGTCTCCAGGGCTATTGTGAGAATCGAATGGGCCACAGCTTCTAGGGTCCTATAAGCAGCACTCCATCCATGTGCTCTTCCTTCTTCTGGTATCTCCTCAGGCCTAGACTAGCATTGCCCAGGCTCAGGTTCAGACTCTTGAGCAGTTTAGGACTCTTCTTTTCAAATGAAGAAATTAAGGCCTCCGGAAGGTAATTTAGGGAAAGGGGAGTGCTATACTTTCATTTTTGGCTCACACAATTTTCTTCCTTTTGACTTCCCAGACTTCACTTCCCCTTTGCCCCAGGTCCGGGGCTCTGGAGCTCCAGAGGACCCCCTCTGCTCTCAGAGGCCTGAGCTGTCATTGGAAGCTCTAGACTTGCCAGTTGACTCCCTAGAGCATAGGAGGCCACCATTAATTCCTGGAAGCTTCTCTGAGTATGGGATGGCAAGCTGGAAGGGATCCGAGAGATCACATAATCCAGTCTCCATATTACTCGGAGGGAAGTGGGCCCAGAGAGGGACAGGGTCTTAGCAAGGTAAAACAGCTAGGTGGAGGTCAGAACAGCACCTGGAATCCAGGTCTCCTGACTCCTAGTCCAGAGCTTTCTCTATTTGCCCACCCTGCCACTATCTCCTGTGGGCCTATGTCAGAAACCCCAGCAAAGACCAGGTCTTGGCCAGGTGCCTGATCAGAGGGCTCTGGAATGTTTACGTGTAGTGTCATGGTGATAGGAATACCACTAGTGTCTGTCAGCCATAGGTGTGAATCCCACCCAGCTTTATAGCCTCCCAGCAACACGGCATAGAGAAAATTGCCAGCCACTTCTCTGAGGCCTGGTTTCTTCAGAAGTCCAATGAAGATGATAATGTCCACCTCACAGGGTGATTGAGAATTGCATCCAGAGCCTGACACATGTAGACCCTCAAAACATGCCCTCCTGGCACCAGGAGGGTTTCCTCAGAGCCCTGCCTGTCTGCCTCCTAGGGTTACTGAAGGAATTCTTAGACTAAGTCCTTAAATCACGATTCGGCTCTGCTGGTGAGCTCTGCAAGCATCTGAGATGCTGTCGTCTGACTGTTGAAATGGTAATATTGCATCCCTACCACATTCCAAATATAACCCTGTGAACTGTGAACACACATCCTTCCCCATTCCAGACTTCCCCTTTGCTGGGGAGCCAAGTTCAGGAAGGAAACTTGAACCCTTGGCGTGTGAGTTGGTGTATGTCAGTGTATGTCTCTCTTTCCCCAGCTCGTGCCCCTCATCACCAGGAACTACCTCAAACAAGGCTTCATGGAAAAGACTGGTCCAAAGGTACATTTGGCCGCTCTCTGGGGGGACTTACACGTGCCCCTGATTCTAGTGGGCAGTAGGGCAGAATTTGGAAAGTGAGGAATGAGGGGTGAGAAGAGTGGGGGGAAGGGAAGTAACCCAATGTTTGTGCATTCCTGGGGCCAAAGACCAAGAGGAGACTGGTGAGCTGGTGTGTGGTCCAGCTGTGGGTGCTTCTCCTGATCCTCCTCCTCCTTTATCAACATCACCAGCAGCTTCTTTCCTCTTTTTTTTTTTTAAGATTATGTTTGTTTATTAGAGAGAGAGAGAACGCATGTGCATGCCAGTGCTGGAGAGGGCGAGGGGCAGAGAGAGAGCAGGGAACGTACACAGCTGATCCCAGGACCCCAGGATCATGACTTGAGCCAAGGCAGACGCTTCCCTGACTGAGTCGTCCAGTTGCCCCAGATTCCTTCCTCTTAATTCCAATCTCATTGACCCCACTCCTGTGAAAGCAGAGCTGAAAAGGAACTCTGCGTAACAGCTTTTACACTTTCCAGAACCCTTGTGTGCTCTGTGCTGGGGGCCTACCAGCACTGTCCAAGTGAGACGGGCTGGTGACTGGTCTGTGAACACACAGCTACACACGCCTGCCCGCCCGCCCGTGGGCACACCCCTTCCCAGCACACACATCCTCCCTCCAGCTGAGCCTCTGCTCTCCTTTGCTAAACCCGCCCCAACTGCCAGTGCTGCCCATTTCTACTTATCAGTGACAGAAGGGAAGACTGGCTGCTCTTGGGCCTCCCTTGGAGGTCCAGAGGGGTGGCGGCTCCTGCTGTGAGGGCATCTTGGGGGGGCCCCAGCCTGAATGCCAAGAGGGGCACAGCTCCAAGTCAGAAGTCTGGCTGGAGAGGATCCTGATGATTGTGAGGGGAGGAGGTGGGGAAGGGAGGGTGAGTAGAGAAAGCAGAGGGAGCCTCCTGAAAAAACCAAAGCAGCAGCAATCCAATGCTGTTTTTTTTTTTTTTTTTTTTTTTTTTTAACAGGATGGTTGTTAATTCTGCAGGGAAAGGTGTTAGGCAATCAGTGTGAAAGAAAGCCTCTGGGCAGCTTAAAAACTAGTCAAAGCCTTGCACATTTTTTCTGCAGATGGCACAGCCACTCCCCAGTGGTTTTTGCCAGGGGCTTTCTTTCCCCTGACCTTGGTTAGGGTTCCAGCCAGGCCAGCGCTTTCAGCATTGCTGAGCAGGAACTCTTTCTGATTTCCCCACTTCCTTTTTCTGAGACTCCTTATCCCTAGCTTGAGAAAGAGGAGAGCCCCTCTTCCTGCCCACAGCAGCACCCAGAGGCACAAGGTGCAGCTGGCAAGGTGTGAGCAGGTGGGCAGAGCCCCAGGGAGGAGCACTGGGGTGTGTGACGGCCAAGATACTGGCCAGCTCCCTCGACCCAGCCCAGCCCAAGCTGGCTCTCTGACCTCTGTGCCCCAACCCGCACCCCCGCACTTGAGTGACCCTAGTATGAGGTTCCCTCTTTTGCAGCAAAGAGAACCTTTCAAGAAAAGATGGTTTGCTCTGGATCCCCAGGAGCGGAGGCTGCTGTATTACAAGAACCCACTGGTAAGAGCCACTGCCGGCCCCTGTCCAGTGCACCCCCAGACAGGTGGGGTCTGTGCCAGCTGGGGACTGCAGGGGAAGCAACAGTATTGGAACAACTTGGTGAGGGAAATGCCTCCATCTTTGCTCATCTCTCTAAGTCATCTCCATGCACAGAGGTATTCTCTTCCACCGTCAGGACGTCCTCTGTGTATCCAAAATGCTGCCAATGTAGTTAAACAGGTGGTTTTTCATCCTTCTGTCTCCAGGGCTCGCTTCTCACTTGGGAGACTAGCGGTTAGCACCATAGGCTCTAGAGCTTTCAGTCCTGCCACTTAGTGGTATGCCTTGGCCAGAGCACTTAACCCTCTGCCTTAGTTTCCTTCTCCAGAAGATAGTTTTAATAACAGCACCTTCCTCAGAGGCTGCCGTGAGGATTATATGAGCTACTTAAGGTAAAGCTCCCAAACAGTAAGCTGTCCATAAATGTTAAGTATCATTTTAACAGATCACGTGTGTGATTTCCTTTATGGCTTTTGTAGCCTTTCAAATTCTGGGTCTCACCAAGCAGAAATTCCCCGCAGAGACTCTCACTGCACACATATGACACCTCTTTCTAAAAGAGAGCCTAGGGGATGTCAGGGCTGCCGGCGTCCCTCTGCCCCAGCCGTGGCCTCTGGTGACCTCGTGTCCTCTGTTTCCAGGATGCCTTTGAACAGGGCCAGGTCTTCTTGGGGAGCAACGAGCAGGGGTATGGAGTCTATGAAGACCTGCCCAAGGGCATCCGGGGGAACCGCTGGAAAGCCGGCCTCACCATCATCACCCCGGAGCGGAGATTTGTCTTCACCTGCCCCAGTGAGAAAGAGCAGCGGGAGTGGCTGGAGAGTTTTCGGGATGTCCTCTCTCGCCCCTTGACGCCCCTCAACCTCCTCCGTAAGATGCACAGCCTGGGGGGGCTTATTCTTTTGGCCAAGGGCAGAAAGGAGCCTCACAAGGGGTCTCTGTGAGCCCTGAAATGGAGGTCATGGCCCCCAACTGTCCTCTTTCCATTTTCTTCTCTTCCTGCCAAAGGAAAGTACAGGTGGTACACATTACTGCCAGAAAGCCCTCTCTGTTCATGCACAGTCCTTCTGTCGTTGAGAGCTCTACGCTGTTAGCTCCCCACCCTCCACCAGTCCGTCTCATGAGAAACCCTGGCCTGTTATTATCAGCTCCAGTCTCACCCACTGGGCAACTCCCAGGGTCTCAGGTTCCTCTGAGACCCACTCAGGTTCCCACAGAGGGAAGGCTATTTTTAATGCTCTTCTCTGGTCCTCCCTTCTGTCTGCTTCTCCCCTGCTCCTCCCTTTTGCCCTCAATGTTACAAGTAGGTTTCTGTCTACTGACAGTCCTGTGAAAAATAGGAAGTCCTTCTGAACTGGAACAGGAAACTTCTGGCCCGGGGCCTGGTTTGAGGGTACCAGGAAGATGTTCTGTGTTTGGAAAAGAACAGAGTAGGTCACTGCCCCCAGCCCCTTAGGAGAGATGCCTGTGCCCTTAAGAGTCAGCTGATGATAAACACACACCCTTTTCACTTTCCAAAATCTTACAGCCAAAGAGCCTGAGAAGCAGAAGTTGTTAACGAAGCATATCAGCTGCTACTTTCTTTCCTGTGGGCCTGTATGTCTGAGTCTCTGTTTCTCGCCCTGTACTCTGGTGTGTGTCCTCTCTGTCTCTCACCCCACTTTGGTTGGTTTTTTGATTCTGGTTGTTTGTTGTCATGCCCTTGTCCCCTTACTTTCCCTTCTCTCCAGTAGGATTGCATTGGCATGGTTATCACCTCAGCTCTCTTCTTGCTCCCCTGGCAGCTGCATCATCGGAGAGTGGCCACAGCAGCAGGTGACTCGTTGGCTGAGGAGCTGGCCACTGGTCACCTGAAGCTCATGGGAAGAAGGACAAGCTGTCACCTAGGCCTTCGGTGCCCAGCAGAAGTGCCCCGAGGTCAGCAGCCATGGCTGGCCATGAACTCTGCCAAGACTGAAGCTTTGGCCTTTACTTACTGGCTCCCTGGGCCTTCCCACTGCCCTGGGGGTCTTGGGGACCTGGCACCTGTCATCAAGGCTCTGGAGATCTGAGATGAAGGTGCTGCAATGGAAAGCCACCCACCATGTCATGCAAGTGGCATGTTTGCTCAAAGAGAAAAAAAAGGTTGATTCTGAATCTAACCATGAGGGAATAATCAGACAAATCCACATTAGGGACATTCTGTAAAACAGCTGGCCTGCACTCCTCAAAAGTGTCAGGATCATGAAAGATAAAGTCAGGAGGAAACTTACCTAGATAAAAGAAGACTAAGGGAGGCAACAAGGTACAATTCATGATTCTTGATGGATCCTGGATTTTTACACTTTATTTTATTTTTTAAGATTTTTATTTTTAAGCAATCTCTACACCCAATGCAGGGCTCAAACTCATGACCCCAAGATCAAGGGTCACATGCTCCAGCAACTGAGCCAGCCAGGCAACCCTGGATTCTAAGTTTTTAAAAAACAGCTATAAAAGACCTAATTGAGATACCTGGGGCAGTTTGAATATGGATGTATATTAGCTAATCATGATGTGAGACTGATAATTATGTTATATTTGTGTAGGAGATTGCTCTTGTTCTTAATGAACACGTGCTAAAAAGTTCAGGGGTAAAATGGAATAATCTTTAGTCTACAACTGACTCTTACGTGGGTCAGCAAAGAATAAGTGTATTTGTACATGTATATATAGAAAGTATATACATATATATATAGTGTGTGTATGTGTATATATGGAAGACAGGAAGTATATATATATATATATATATACAGGGAGAGAGAGAAAAAGCAAGCCACAGTGCAAAATGTTAGCAACTGAAGAATCTACAGGAAGTATAGATGGGGTCTTTATTGTCCTGTTGGTGCAAATTTTCTAGTGACTCAAAAGTGTTCAAACTAAAAAGTTGGAAGCTGGGGAAATTTTTAAAGAAACATCCACTCTCAGCCTTCAAAAGCAGTGTGTTTTCAATATGAATCAAGATAGTTCCTGACAGTTCATGTTAGAAGAAATGAAAACCTAGAGAATACAAAAAAAACAATGTCTGAACTGATGATCGTCATACTCCAGAAAGAAAGAAGCAAGCCGAGGAGGCGGCTGTGCTGGACCCTAGGACACAGCTGTCCAATCTGCGTGTCAGCTGTGGCCTTGCCACTGACTTGAAATTGTTGAAAACCTCACTTTCCCACTGATGTGCCTTGGCTTTTCTCTTTTACTTAAGGAAGTTGTGCTAACTATTGAAATTCAATGGAAGCAATAAGTATTTTTGAGCATCTCCTAGGTGCCAGGCTCTGGGCTAAGCCTTGGGAATAGGGCAGGAATCACATGATCCCTGCTGTCACAGATCCCAGGCTGCTACAAGTCAACTCTTACACAGGGTGGGACGATGCCACGAGTGTTCAGAACAGGAAGTACAAGCTCCTTGGGTAGCATGCAGCATAGGGTTTCCCCTAACTGAGGGTCGGGGGATAGGACGGCCTCTGTCCTCTCCAGAAAGTGACGTTGAAATAGAAACCTTAAAGATATTTAGAGGTTAGTCAAAGGGAAGAGGGTGGGGAAGACACTCGTCTCAGGGAAGTAAATGTTCAAAGGCCTTTGGATGGGAAAGAGGAACTGATAGAAATCGTGAAGGGCTGATGTGTTAGAGAAACAGATCACCGAGGTCTCTGCTCTGTGATTCTTTGTCTTTCATGTGATGTGCAGAGGAACATTTGGTGTTCTCTCTTCATTTTGGTGGAGACGGAAAGGGTTGGGAGGGTGTTTACTAGAGTTGCTGCTTTTTACGGTGTTTTCCTATGGATTCCCCCCAGAGGACAAGCAGTGTTATTGGAGTGTCTTTTCGGAGGCTTCTTGACAGCCCAGAGGAAGATGTGGGTGCTTCCTCTTCTGGCTCCTGAAGCACCTTGAAAATGTCTGTTTCAATACCTGCTGGGTTCAATACCTAAGGGTCAGTTGACTCACCTGCCTTTTTTACTACCCATGAGCGATGCCTAGAGAGGAAGAAAGAAGTAAACAGGCAGTAAGAAAGCTACTTGGTATTAAGAAGGAAAGTCACATGATCAGATTCCAAACTTAGGAAAAGAAGGCAGCAATGTAGAGTATGAGAAGGAAGCAGAGAGATCAGTTGGGAGGCCATTGCATAAATCACAAGCACCATCGTAATGCCTAGTTCTGGGCTTGTGTCTGAGGGAGCACACCAGCTCTATTTCCCATCTCTTCTTTCTTAAACATCCTCCTCTTGTTCAGACAGAAAAGCCATACCTCTTACCCGCCTTAAACCTTACTAGAGTATATTGCTCCAAGGCATAAAAATCTTTATTTGGGATGCCAAATAAAGAGATCTTTTGAAATAAGAGTGACAAGCCTTCTTTTTAAATTTTATTTTTTATATCACTCTAAAATTGACTTTTTTTTACTGTTCTGTAAGTCTTAATACAATAGGATTCATGTAATTATCACCACAACCAGAATAAAGAATGGTTACATCACTTCAAACATTCCCTAGTGCTACCTCAGCCACACCCTTCCCCTGCTACCTGCCAATCACAGATCTGTTCTTCATCAGTCCAGATTTGTATTTTTGAAGATGTCATATAAATGGAATCATTCAATATGTAATTTTTGAAACTGGCTTCTTTCAGTATAATGCCTTCGAGATTCATCCAAGCCACTGCATGTATCAATAATTCTTATTGCTGAGTAGTATTGCGTTATATGGATGTGCCACAGTTTGTTTATCCCATGGAATAGTACTCAGCAATAAAAAGGAATGAATTATTAATACATGCAACAATATCCAGGAGTGGCACTGTTGAGTTATATGGTAGGTGTATGTTTAACTTTATAACAAACCATCAAACTGTTTTCCAGAGAGGCTGGACTATTTTGCATTTCCACTAATGATATTTGAGAATCCTAGTTACTCTGCCCAGAAGTCCAGTGTACCATCCATTGTGCCACAGAGCCAGGAAGAGAGTTCCAGTTACTCTGCATCATCACCAGCACTTGGTATTGTCAGTACTCTTAATTTTAACAGTCCTAATAAATGTGTAGTGGTTTTCCATGGTTTTCATTTGTATTTCTCTAGTGGCTGGTGATGCTGAACATTTTTTCATGTGCTTATCTTTGGAGAAGTGACTTTGGTTCCATGTCTCATTTTTTAAATTAATTTTTTTAAAAGATTTTATTTATTCATTTGAGAGAGAGAACACAAGCAGGAAGAAGAGCAGAGGAAGAGGGACAAGCAGACTTGCCACAATACGGGGAGCCCGACATGGGGCTCGATCCCAGGACTATGATATCGTGATGTGAGCTGAAGGCAGATGCTCAACTGACTAAGCCACCCAGGTGCCGGTCATTTTTTTAATTGCGTGGTTTCTTTTCTTTATTGTTGAGTTTTGACAATTCTTTATATATTCTTGATATTAGTCCTTTGACAGACATGGAATGTGCAAATATTTTACCCCAATCTGTAGCTTTTTATTCTCTTAACAGTGCCAGGGAAGTTTTCTTACGGCATTGAGGTCAGGGTTTATGGCTTCCTTTGTTTTTTGCAGATTTTTGTTGGTGATGAAGTTTGGCATGAAAAATAGGGTGTTTTGGCTTATGTTTGGATATTTTGAATTCATATAAAGCGGAGTAGGAATGAGGATGATGTTCATTTAATGGCTTCTTCCCCTGAAAAAAATATGCTTTGTCCCTGAAGGAATGCACTGGTAGATATTAATGGCAGTCATACCTTATTTCATCCCCCACACAAATTCAGGAATTTGTCCTTTCCCATCTAACATTAGAACCCAGTGTCACAGGGATGTGTATTGACACATTTTTTTAAAAGATTTTATTTACTTATTTTATAGAAAGAGCATGCAAGGGGCAGGGAGGGAGGTAGAGGCAGAGGGAGAGAGAGAAACCAAAGCAGAATCCCTGCTGAGCAAGGAGCCCAAGGGAGGGCTTGCTCCCAGGACAGCAACATCATGACCTGAGCAGAAACTGAGCTGGACACTTAACGTGCTGAGCCACCCAGGTGCCCTTTAACACATCTATTTGAATTTAACAATGATGTCAGACGGACGGAAAATGAGTCTGATTTGCCTGACTGGTTTGATGTGAGAACTGGCCCTGCCAATTAGGTTATGTGGCAAGAATTTTGCATAAATTGGGTAAGCTAAATCTGCAGCCCCCAAATTTTAAAGAAAATATATTTCAAGCATATAAAAGTATCTCTCCAAAAAAATATGAGATTGGCAAAGGTGTATTGAAATGACTAATATTCCAATTTTTCTAGGCCTGAGTATATCAAGTTAAACAAAGTGACTCTTAAGTAATAGAGTGACTGGTTTAATTGATAGTAATTTGATAAGCCCGGGCAAAGTCTTGTTACCATACCTCCCAGAAAATTAGAAAGTGAACACTTCTTTTTTCTCTAAGTTTTTATTTATTTAATCTCTACAATCAACATGGGGCTCAGACTCATGGCCCTGAGATTAAGAGTTGCTTGCTCTTTCAACTGAGCCAGCCAGGCACCCCAAGAAAGTAAATACTTTTGACTTTTGCAACACAGGTAGCCTCAAATTCTTTGCTCTAATAAAGATTAAAGGAAAATCTGATCAAATTGTCAGCTGAGAGATTACTAAGTAATTTCTGTTGATGGATCACTGATTTTTTTGATCTCAAAGTATTCAGTAAAGTATGTGACATGGTTGTCATATATGTGAACGAGGTTTTTCAGACCTAACATAAAAACAAAAAATAGGAGTATAATTTATTCCCGAATCTTGTTTAATTCTATTGCTAAGTAATGTTCATCTCTCATATAACTCAATAGCAAAAAAAAAAAAAATTAAAACAGGCAGAAGACCTGGATACATATTTTCCAAAGAAGATGTACAAATGACCAGCAGGTACATGAAAAGGTGCTCAACAGCATAATCATCAGGGAAAAGCAAATCAAAACACCAATAAGATATCACCTTGCTGTAAGAGTAGCTATCAAAAAGACAAGAAATAACAAGTATCAGCCAGGATGTGGAGAAAAGGGAACCCCTGTGCACTGCTGGTGGGAATGTAAATTGGCGCAGCCACTGTGGAAAAGTTATGGAGGTTCCTTAAAAAATAATAATAGACCTACCATATACCCAGTAATTCCATTTCTGGGTGGGTATATGAAGGAAACAAAATCACTGTCTCAAAGAGTTATCTGCACCCAATGCAGCGTTATACACAATTGTCAAGTCATGGAAATAGCCTGTGTCTACATTAATAGATGAATGGATAAAGAAAATACACACACACCCCTTGAGGATATTATACTAAATGAAATAAATCAGAGAAAGACATTGTATGATCTCACATGTAGAATCTATAAAAGCTGAACTCAGAAACAGAGTAGAATAGTGGTTGCCAGGGACTGGAAAGTGGGGGGAAATGGGAAGATGTAGGGCAAAAAATACAAATTGCCATTTTTGGGATGAAGAAATTCTGGGAATCTATCATACAGCATGGTGACTATTGTTTACTATTTTGTATATTTTAAAGTTGCTAAGAGAGTAGATCTTAAATGTTCTCATCAGCCTCAAAAAAAGGTGAGATGATGGAGGCATTCACTAACCTTATTATGGTAATCATTTTGCAATATATATGTGCATTAAATAAATCATTGTATTGTACATCTTAAACTTAGAGACAATGCTATGTGTCATTTGAGATAACTCAGTAAAGCTGGAGAAAAAAGTAATATTCATCCACAGATAAATGTGTTTTTTTAAATTAAAAAAATTTTTTAAAAAAGATTTTATTTATTTATTCATGAGAGACACAGAGAGAGGCAGAGACAGGCAGAGGGAGAAGCAGGCTCCATGCAGGGAGCCCCATGTGGGATTCTATCCTGGGACTCCAGGACCACACCCTGGGCCAAAGGCAGTCGCTAAACCGCTGAGCCACCCAGGCGTCCCGATAAATGCATTTTTTAAAAGAAACCAGCCCATCCATCTCACTAAGAGCTGTAATTCCAATAAAATTTTGATTTTTTAGTTAATACCTATTTATATAAATTTATATTTGTTTTGATTGACTGCTAATAATAATTTTTAAAAAATATTTGTTAGAGACAGAAGAGTATGAGCAGGGAGGGGTAAGGGAGAGGGAGAGAGAATCCCAAGCAGACTCCACACTGAGTGTGGAGACTGACTCTGAGCTCAGTCTCAGGACCTCGAGATCATGACCTGAGCAGAAATCAAGAGTCAGATGTTTAACTGACTGAGCCATCCAGGTGTCCTGACTGCTAATAATAACTTTTTTAATTAATTTTTTTCTGATTTTATTTATTTATTCATGAGAGACACAGAGACATAGAGAGGCAGAGACATAAGCAGAGGGAGAAGCAGGCTCTATGCAGGGAGCCTGATGTGGGACTTGATCCCAGGACTCCAGGATCACGCCCTGAGCCGAAGGCAGAGGCTTAACTGCTGAGCCACCCAGACATCCCTATAATTTTAATGATAAGTCAATCCAGCATAAAAATTTATTTATTTTTTTAAAGATTTAATTTATTTATTCATGAGAGACACGGAGAGAGCGAGAGGCAGAGACACAGGCAGAGGGAGAAGCAGGTTCCATGCAGGGAGCATGATGTGGGACTCCATCTCAGGACTCCAGGATCACACCCCGGGCCGAAGGCAGGCACTAAACCGCTGAACCACCTAGGGATCCCCCAGAAGAAAAATTTTTTTTTTTTAAGATTTTTTATTTATTTATGACAGACACAGAGAGAGAAAGAGGCAGGGACACAGGCAGAAGCAGGCTCCATGCAGGGAGCCCGACATGGGACTCGATCCCAGGTCTCCAGGATCATACCGCTGGCCAAAGGCGGCGCTAAACCGCTGAGCCACCAGGGCTGCCCCCCAGAAGAAAAATTTAATGAGCCTTTTTGTTATAGGAAGTAAAACAGACTTAAAATTTCAATAAATATGCATATTTCTATTGCAGAGAATTATTACAAGTTGATAAAAGTGATTACAAAGTGATAAAAGACTTTCATGCATAAAATAGATTGCTTTAGAATATCGTTCTGTGGAATTGGACAACTAAGAAGAAATGGATAAATTCCTAGAAACATATAAACTACCAAAACTGAAACAGGAAGAAATAGAAAATTTGAGCAGACATATAACCAGCAAAGAAACTGAATCAGTACAAAAAAAAAAAAAAAAAAAAAAACCCTCCCAACAAATGAAACTCCAGTGATGTGGGAAGCAAAGACAAAAGAAAAATCAAACATCTTTACTACTTATAGGCCATTGACAAGTCCTTGAAACAGGCAGAATGACAGTCCTATAGGAACTCAGCTGCCTCGATGTTAGAGCTTTGCTAAGGGCAAAAGGCAATCTTAGCCCAACTCCAGAATCCTGTAAGTCTACTTTAACGTGTAAAAATTCCTTTGAGGGGCATCTGAGTGGTGTAGTTGATTAAGCGTCCAATTCTTGGGTTCAGCTCAGGTTGTGATCTCACAGTCTTGGGATTGAGCGCCAAGTCACACTCCGTGCTCAGCATGGAGTCTGCTGAGATTCTCTCTCCCTCTTCCGCTGCCCCTCCTGCTCATGCTCACCCTCTGTCTAAAATAAATAAATCTTTTTTAAAAAAATAAATAATTACTTTGGAAACTTCCTTTATCTTTATCCTCCCAAGATATGTGTTGGCAATAATCCTCCAAGCATATGATCCACCAATATACATCTGGAGGGTCTCATGACTAAGGTTTTATTAGACAGTAATAAAGATTGATTTTTTTTATTTATTTATTTATTTATTCATTCATTCATTCATTCATTCATTCATGAGAGACAGAGAGAGGGGGGGGGTAGAGTCACAGGCAGAGGGAGAAGCAGGCTTCCTGCAAGGAGCCCAATTCGGGCTCCATCCGGATCCTGGGATCACGCCCTGAGCTGAAGGCAGATGTTTAACTGCTGAGCCACCCAGGCGTCCTATCAGACAGTAATAAATGATCTTTTCCTAACAATAGCTAGCCCCCTCAAAGTCCTGGAAACCTTGCTTCCAAAATTCTTTGGAGACTTATGCTCTCACTAACCCCCTCCCAACTTGGAGGTATATAATGGGTCACTCCTCATGACCCCAGTGCAGCTCTTTCTGCCCACAGGTCCTGTCCCTGTGCTTCAATAAAAACACTTTTGGGCCCCTGGCTGGCTCAGTGGTTGGACATCTGCTTTTGGCTCAGGTTGTATGTATCTATGTACCTATGTATCTCATGAATAAATAAATAAAAATCTTTAACAAATAAAAACACTTTTTTGCACTGAAGGCGTTTTAAGAATTCTTTCTTGGCTGTTGGCTATGAACCCCAATATCTATCCTATATCACTAGGATCAAATGACTTCACAGGTGAATTTTACCAAATAGTTAAAGAAGAGTGAACATCTCTTCTTCTCAAACTATTCCAAAAAAATAGAAAAGGAAGAATATAGTTCTCTGGAGAAAATGGAATGGCAATACAAATTCAAAAAGATGAAACAATGAGAAATTTTCCAATGTAAATGAAGAACTTGTTAATGTATTTTTACAGCTAGGGCTACTTCTACCCCTACCCTCTTTCTGGGAACCACTGCATGTTTTTGCATGAAACTTTCAGGAATTGTCCAAGAAAAAGTTTGCAGACCACTGGTTAATCCACTCCTTCAAGAAACTTGGGTGTCTAAAAGAGAAGGGAAGGAGAGGTGGCTAGAGGGATGCTTCTATCAAAGGAGATTTTATTTTTCAAGATGGAAAATTTGAGCATGTGTCTTTAGTATTGTGTCTATATTTCAAGAAAAGAGAGGTATGAAGAGATAGGGTTTACCACCAATGAAGAGACTTCGGAACAAAATCCAGGTAACATATCAATCAGGATAGGCTAAATTATGCTGTAGCCACAAGCACCCACTAAGTCTCCATAAGCTTAACATGTCTTAAGTTTATTTTCCTCTTTTACTGCAGGTTCCAGTGTGGGTCCCCAGGGGGTCTGCTCATCTTCACCACTCAGACACCAGGCCACCAGATGATGGCTTCATCTCCACAGTCAGGGCATTTGGCAGAAAGGGATACAATGACTTACTAGCTTTTTTAAGTTGGTGGAAAGGTGACAAGTATTCTGCATGTTTCAAGTGGGTCAGAGAAGTGCCAATCCTACCAGGTGCTGAAAAGAGCTGGAAACTTCACTGAGTAGCCTAATAGGTAGTTCTATTGACTACTACTTGTCATTTCCAGTATTGGAAATAGCCATAAATTCGTATTATCTGGTACTTACTTTGGGGCAAGGCAAGATGGGATGAAATAAAATATGAGATATTGTTAGTTCATTTCAACAGATCAGAGAGATGGGGGTTCTGGTCTCTGCCACTCAATGGCTGCTGTGTAAACCTGAAAGTTCCTTTGCCTCTTTGGGGCCTTCCAGCCCCAACATTTTCCTGCTGTGATGAGCTTGAGACTGGAATAAGGAGAGAGGAGGAAGCGAGCGAGCCGACCAAGGCCAGGCGTGCTACCTCAAGAAAACAGACCCAGTGTTTTTGTCCGGTTGCCTGTTGGGTAATGTGCTTTCAGCCAGCAGAGAGCAGTACGGAGACAGTGGCAGAGTTCTGCATCGTAGTGGCGGTTTGAAATGTCTAGGGGTCCTTCAACTTTGGCCGCATATTAGAATCATCTCGAGGAGGCTTTTAAGAATATCCGTGCGGGGATCCACCCCAGAGGATGAAATCAGACTCTTTGGGAGTGAAGCCCCAGCATCATTCTTTGTAAAGAGCTATGTGCACTGGGGTTTTTTTTTTTTAAAGATTTTATTTATTTATTTATTTATTTATTTATTTATTTATTTATTTATTTATTTATTTATTTATTTATTTATTTATTCATGACAGACACAGAGAGAGGCCGAGACATAGGCACAAGGGAAGCAGGCTACCCCCGGGGAGCCTGATGAGGACTGGATCGCCCGACCCTGGGATAAGGACCTCACCCTCTGGCTGAGGCTCCGCCACTGAGCCCCCCAAGTGCCCTGCGCCGGTTTTCTTTAATCTTTTACTACTTGTTGGAGGGGACGGATGACAGCTACTGGGCGCAGTCTCGTAATAAAGTTCTCGAACCGGACCCTCTCTTTCTTCTCAAGGGCTGTCGGGACCGCGTTTTAATGGGCCGGGGTCTGTGTGCAGAGGGAGGGCATCAAGCGCCCGGGTCCTTGGGGCATCAGGGTATTCCCAGCGCTGGGGGCGAGCTGAGATCCCGCGCAGCTGTGACTCCGGCCCGCTCTGCCCTAGGGCGCGGCGTGCGGGGGAGGGGGGGAAGCTCAAAGGCCGCTCTCCCCCACACCAGAGACAGGAAGAAAGGCTGGGCCGAGGCGGGGAGAGGAAGGCCGAGGGAGGAGCTGGAGGAGACGTCCGCGCCCAGGCGTCCGGTGGGGCGCCGCGTCACCATGGCGGGCCCGGACCCCGGCCCGGCCGTCCCCGTGTGGCTGGCCGAGGACGACCTGGGCTGCATCATCTGTCACGGGCTGCTCGCCTGGCCCGCCACGCTGCCCTGCGGCCACAGCTTCTGCCGCGACTGCCTCAATGGCCTGTGGGCCGCCGGCTGCGCTGGGCCCCCGCGCTCCTGCCCCACCTGCCGCGCGAGCGCCGCGGAGCCGCGGCAGCTGCGCAAGAACACGATGCTGCAGGAGCTGGTGGACAAGTACAGCCGCGCGCTGCGCGAGGTAGGCGAGGGCGGGCCCGGCCGGGCCCGGCGGGCGCCGCGGGCACCTGCGCCCCCCGCCGCCCCGCCCCGCGCCGCCCCCCGCCGCCCCGCCCCGCCGCCCCGCCGCGCCGCCCCGCCGCGGACTGCGCTTCCCCGGTGCCCTGCCTCCGCGCTTGCGCCCTTCGCCCCGCCGCCTGCCTGCTTGGCGATCTGCTCTCGCTCTGAGCACTCCCGCTCCTGGGGAAGTGGGGATGAGTGTGAGGACGCGGAGGAAAACCCGGTCCCTGACTTCCAATCAGACTGGGTGCTCTATCTGCTCCTTGGCATATTTCCACTCTTGGCCAGTCTGTCTGCAGACTGTGGTCTCTTTTAACATTCTTCTATTGGGGTAACATATAGCATAGAGTCATACCAACCTTTTTTTTTTTTTTAAGATTCTATTTATTTATCCATGAGACACATACAGAGAGAGGCAGAGGCACAGGCAGAGGGAGAAGCAGGCTCCGTGCAGGGAGCCCGAGGTGGGACTCGATCCCTGGACCCCGGGATCAGGACCTGAGCTGAAGGCAGAGGCTCAACCATTGAGCCGCCTAGGTGTCCCTACATACTTTTTTAAGGGTAGAATTTAGTGGCATGAGTTATATTCACAGTGATGTGCAGCTATCACTAGTTTGTTTCCAAAAGGTCTTCACCACAAAAACTCTGCACCCTTTAAGCAATAACTTCTCATTCCAACGCTCTGCAGCACCCCCCCCCCTTTTTTTTAAAAAGATTTTTATTTATTTATGAGAGACAGAAGGAGAAGGAGGCTCCATGCAGGGAGCCCGACGTGGGACCCAATCCCGGGGTCCAGGATCACGCCCTGGGCCAAAGGCAAGCGCTAAACCGCTGAGCCACCAAGGCATCCTATCTGCAGCCCCTTTTAACCTCTAATCTGTGTTCTGTCTTCATGACTTGCCTACTCTAGATATTTCATATCAGTGGAGTCGTGTAATATTTGTCTCTTTGTGTCTGGCTTCTTCCACCTACCATGTTTTCAGAGTTCACTCATGTTGTAGCATGCCCCTGAATTTTATTCCTTTTTGTGGCTGAGTAATGTTCCATTGTATGTATGTACCAAATATTATCTGTTCATACACTAATGGAAGTTTGGATTGTTTCCACCTGCTGGTTACTGTGAGTAATGATGCAGTGAATATTGGTGTGCAAATAACCAAGTCCTTATTTTCAGTTCTTTTCGGTAAATTCTGCAGCAGCTACAACATTTTACATTCCACCAGCAAAGGAGGAGTTGCCGAATTTTCCACATACTTGCCAGTACTTGTTATTCTCTCGTTTTATTTTCATTCCGCCTTCTCACCACTTTGTTTTTAGTATAGCTTTCCCATTTAGGATTGTTTTCTCACTGTGGGTTTGATCTGCATTTCCCTGACGATTGATGATGGTGACTGAACATCTTCTCATGTGTATGTGTTTTTTTAAGATTTTATTTATTTATTTATTTATTTATTTATTTATTTATTTATTTATTTGAGAGAGAGAGAGAGAGATAGTAAAAGAGAGCACTAGCAGGGGGCAGAGGGAGAAGCAGGCTCCCCGCTGATCAGTGAGCCTCAATATGGGGCTCTATCCCAGGACTCTGGGATCATGACCTGAGCCAAAGGCAGACTCTTAAGGGACTGAGCCACCCAGGGACCTCTCTTTTCTTGTGCTTATTGCTCATGTATATATCTTCATTGGAGAAATGCTTATTCAGGTCCTTTGATTGTTTTAAAAGTTAGGTTCTTTTTTTTTTAGAGATTTAATTTGTTTATTTATGAGAGACACGGAGGCAGAGACATAGGAAGAGAGAGAAGCAGGCTCCCTGCAAGGAGCCTGATGTGGGACTCAATCCCAGATCCCAGATCCCAGATCCCAGGATCATGCCCAGAGCTGAAGGCAGACGCTCAATCGCTGAGACACCCAGGCGTCCCTAAAAGTTAGGTTCTTTGTTTTTGTTGAGTTTTAGGAAATCTTTATAAATTGTGGATATTAAGCCCTTATCAGATATACCACTTTCAAATATATCCCCCCATCTTATGGGTTGTCATATTACTTTCTTGATGGTGTCCTTTGATACACAAAAGTTTTATCTATTTCTTCTTCTCATGTCATATCTAAATGCATTGCTGAATCCTGAGTTCATGAAGATTTACCCTCATATTTTCTCCTAAGATTTTTATGGTAATAGGTCATATATTTAGGTTGCTGATCTATTTTGAGTTAATGTTTCTATGTGCATGAGGTAGGGGCCCAACTTTATTCTTTTACATGTGGAAATCTAGCTGTCCCAGCACTATCTGTCGAAGAGACTATTTTTCTCCATTGAGTGGAGTTAGCACCTTATAAAAAAATCAGCTAGGGGGTACCTTCACCTGAAACCATCTGTACAAGTATTACTCTTGGGGCGCCTGTGTGGCTCAGTGGTTGAGCATCTGCCTTCAGCTCGGGTCGTGATCCCAGTGTCCTGGGATCTAGTCCCACACTGTGCTCCCCATGGGGAGCCTGCCTGTCTTTCTGTGTCTCTCATTAATAAATAAAATATTTTTTAAAAATCAGTTGGCCGTAGATGAATGGATTTATCTCTGGACTCCTAATTCTATTCCACTGATTTTTTTTTTTTTTTGGTCTATCCTTATGTCAGTACCACATTGTTTTGATTACTATAGCTTTGTAGTAAAGTTTGAAATCAGAAAGCATAGGTCCATCCTACTCGTTCTTCTTTTTCAAGATTGTTTTTGCTCTTCAGGGCCTCAGCAATTCCATATGAATTTGAAGATTGATGTTACCATTCTGCAAAGAAGGCTGTTGGAATTTTGAGAGGGAGTGGATTGAATCTGTAGGTTACCTTGGGTGTGACATCTTTAACAATATTATGTCTTCTTGGGGATCCCTGGGTGGCGCAGTGGTTTAGCACCTGCCTTTGGCCCAGGGTGTGATCCTGGACACCCGGGATCAAGTCCCACGTCGGGCTCCCTGCATGGAGCCTGCTTCTCCCTCTGCCTCTCTCTCTCTCTTTCTCTATCATGAATAAATAAAATCTTAAAAAAAAAAAAAAACAAAGCAAAACAATATTATGTCTTCTTGGGGCAGCCCCGGTGGCCTAGCGGTTTAGCACTGCCTTCAGCCCAGGGCCTGATACTGGAGAACCCAGATCAAGTCCCACATCGGGCTCCCTGCATGGAGCCTGCTTCTCCCTCTGCCAGTCTCTCTCTCTCTCTCTCTCTCTCTCTCTCTCTCTCTCTGTCATGAATAAATAAATAAAATCTTTAAAAAATATATTATGTCTTCTTCCCAGAAATGTGAAATGTGAAATGTCTTTCCATTTATTTATTATTTATTATTTCCATTTATTTATTCCATTTATTTAGGTCTTTTTAACTATCTTTTAGTGATGTTCTGTAGGTTCCAAAAATATAAGTCCTTTCATTTCCTTAGTTAAATTTATTCCTAGGTATTTTATTCCTTTAGATGCTACTATAAATGGAATTGTTTCCTTAATTTCATTTTTGGATCATTCCCTGCAGGTGTATAAAAACACACTTCTTTTTGGGAGCTGATCTTGTGCCCTGTAATTTTGCTGAATTCATTTACTAGCTTTCTTGTGGATTCTTTTTTTTTAAAGAGATTTTTAAAAATGTATTTGACAGAAAGAGAGCAAAAGTAGGCATTGTGGCAGGCAGAGGGAGAGGGAGAAGTAGGCTCCTTGCTGAGCAGAGAGCCCAACATGGGGCTCCTTGCTGAGCAGAGAGCCCAACATGGGGCTCCATCCCAGGACCCTGATATCATGACCTGAGCCACCCAGGCCATCCTCTCTTGTGGATGAGATCCTCATCCTATGTGAATACAGATCATCGTACTTCTTCTTTTCCAATTGGGATGCTTTTTATTTTTTGTCTAATTGCTCTGCCTAAATTTCCTGTACAATGTTTGGTAGCAGAGTTGAAACCAGGCATGCTTGATCCTGACTAGACGCTTTTAGTCTTCTACCATGGAGTATGATGTTAGTTGTGGGTTTTTCGTAAATTCCCTTTATCATGTTGAGGAAATTCTTTTCTATTCTTAGTTTTCTCAGTATATATATATTTTTGATCATGAAAGGGTGTTAGATTTTGTCAAATGCTTTTTCTGCATCGATTGAGATGATTGTATATCGTGTGTGTGTGCTTCCTTCATTCTATTAATGTAATGTATTATATTGGTTGTTTTTCTTAAGTTGAACCACCTCACATTTCTAGGATAAATTCTGCTTGGTCGTGGTGTATTATCCTTTTAATATGCTGTTGGATTTAGTTTGCTAGTTTTTGTTAAGAATTTCTACATCAATATTCATAATGGATAATGGTCTGTAATTTTTTTGTGATGTGTTTATCTAGCTTTGGCATTAGGGTAAGGCTGGCCTTACTGAGGAGTTAGGAAGTGTTTCACCATCTTCAACATTTTGGAAGAATTTGGGAACTATTGATGTTAACTCTTTAAGTATTTGGTAGAGGGATGCCTGGGTGGCTCAGGAATTGAGTGTCTGCCTTCAGCTCAGGTCGTGTTCCCGGGATCCTGGGATCGAGTCCCGCATTGGGCTCCCTGCAGGGAGCTGCTTCTCCCTCTGCCTGTGTCTCTGTCTCTCTCTCTGTGTGTGTCTCTCATGAATAATTAAATAAAATCTTAAAAAAAAATTAGTGATTGATTTGAGATCTTTTTTCTTTTTAATGCAGGTCTTTCCAGTTATAAATTTTCCTCTGAGTCTTTTACAGAGTTCTGACAGAATTGTTTCTGTCCGTTTCTGCTGGTTCTGTGATGTTTCTGTGTGGAGGGAACATGAGATCTTGGAGTTGCCTACTCCACCCTTTTGCTGTTCTCAGATATACATATACATATATATATATTTAAGATATATATTTATACATATATATATTTAAGATTTTATTCTTAATTAATCTTTATACTCAATGTGGATGTGGGACTCAGACTCACTCCAAGATCAAGAGTCATACACTCTACTGACCGAGCCAGCCAGGTACCCCTGTTCTCTGTAATATATATTTTTAAAGATTTATTTATTTATTTGAGGAGGGGAGGGGCTGAAGGTGAGGGAGAGGGAGAATCTCAAGCTGACTCCCCACTGAGCACAGAGAATGAGGTGGAGCTCAATCTCAGGATCCATAAAATCATGACCTGAGCTGAGCTGAAATAATGAGTTGGATGCTTAACCAACTGAGCCAACCAGGTGCCTCTGCAATCTTTTTTAACAGAATTGAGGTCACACTGTATAACCAGGTTATATCCTCTTTTTTGAATTAATAGCGTTTATTTTTCGAAGCAGTTCTATGTTTACAGAAAACTGAGCAGATATTGTGGCAAGTCCCCATATGTCCCTAATAATAGTTTGCCCTATTATTAACATCTTGCATTAGTGTGGTACATTTGTTGCAATTGATGAATCAATATTAATATATTATTTACTAAAATCCACAGTTGAGCTTGATGCAGTGGCAGTATTGTAGCCAATGAGGTTTATCCAAGGTATGATTTTGCCAATTGAAACTAAAATCCACAGTTGATATTAGGGTTCACTCTGGGTTGTACAGTTCTATTGGTTTTGACAAATGCATGATAATATGTAACTGCAGTTATGGTGTCATACAGTTTTACTGCTCTGAAAATCCCCTATGCTCCACCTCTTTGTACCTTGATCCCAAACCCTGGCACTTGCTAATCTTTTTACTGTCTCTTATTCCCAGGATGTCATATAATTAGAACCATACAATTTATATCCTTTCCAGATTGGCTTCTTTCACTAAGCAAAATGATGGTATGTGGCTTGATAGCTCATTTCTTTTTATTCCTGAATAATACTCTATTACATAGATGTACCACAATCTATCCATTCACCTTCTGATGGGACATGGTTGCTTCCTTTTTTTCTTTTTTTTTGTGTGTGTGATTATGATAATTTTTTTTTTTTTTTTAAGATTTTACTTATTTGGGCAGCCTGGGTGGCTCAGTGGTTTAGCACTGCCTTTGGCCCTGGGCATGATCCTGGAGACCCGGATTGAGTCCTACATCAAGCTCCGTGCATGGAGCCTGCTTCTTCCTCTGCCTGTGTCTCTGTCTCTCTCTCTCTCTCTCTGTGTGTCTCTCATGGATAAATATAAATAAATAAATAAATAAATAAATAAATAAACGTACGTATGTGTAGGGTGTCAATAATCAAATGAAAGGAGCTGGCATCTGTGCATCACTTTAAAGTTTCCAAGATCGGGGCACCTGGATGTCTCAGTTGAGTAAACATTGAACTCTTGATTTCAGCTTAGGTCATGATCTCAGGGTCTTGAGATCAAGCCCCATGTTGAGCTCTGCATTCAATGCGGAGTCTGCTTGAGATTCTCTCTCTCTCCCTTTGCCTCTCCCCCTGCTTGCACTCTCTCTCTCATTTTCTCTCTCTCTCAACTAAATAAATAAAATCTTAAAAAAAAAAAAAGTCGCTAAGATCCCTGCACAGTAAACAGGTAGAGTCTCTGCATTGTTGAAGAGGAGAAAGAGGGAGGGTCATTTTCACTTTGAAAGGAGTGGTGAAGACACAAGATGACCCTGGTGAGAGTGGACCTTCAACCCCTCCAATGAATGCCCTCCACAGTCCCACTGACCATGCCGGGTGCATGCACCCTGCCAGGCTCTCAGCATCTCTCTGACCTCCTCTGTTCACTTTCCTTTAGCCTTCACTCTCATCTCTGCCCCCTGCCTGTGGATGGGCTCTGTTTCCCTGTTATGACTATAGGATGATCAGTAGGCATGCCAAGGTATATGGGCTGTCTGCCTCCTTGTTCTCTGGACATTTTTGTCACTCGGTTGCCTGCTTCCTTTATGCAGTATTTACAGCTCCCTCTGTCTAGAGCTGCTGGGTCCTGGGTCCAGCTTTGTGTTCCACTTTGTTATTTTATTTTATTTTTTTTAAAGATTCCATTTATTTATTTGACAGAGAAAATGAGCACAAGCAGGGGGAGCAGCAGAGGCAGAGGGAGAAGCAGACTCCCCACCAAGCAAGAAGCCTGATGTGGGGCTTCATCCCAGGACCCTGGGATCATAACCTGAGCCAAAGGCAGATGCTTAACTGACTGAGCCACCCAGGTGCCAACCCCCCACCACCACTTTGTTCTTTTGTTCTTTTAAAGGCAGCGGCCCAGAAGAGCATCAAAGAAGTTGGACGTGAGCTGACAGAGTTGGTGGAACAGCTTGTAGGCATTGTCAGGAATCTTCAGAGTCAGAAACACCTTCCTGAATCTGGACCAGAAAATGAAAGGAGCACCCTGAGCATGGGCATGGTAGGCTCAGCGGGGAGGGGAAAGCATGTGCTGGGAGTAGGACTAGGGACAGTTTCCAGCTGGAGCCACAGAAGTATGTGAAGGATGCAATGTCTTCATCTTTTACCACTTTCTTACTGTCACACATGGATGACTGGAAGTGCAGAATGCTTGAGGTGAGGTAGGGGAGCTTCAGGTGGGCTAGGTTCCATCCTTATCTCTACACCTAACCAGCTCTGAGATACCCAGGAACCTCTATGCAAATCGTGCAGACAGTCTAGTCCTCATCTTCATTGACCTCTCAGCACCCTTTGACCACACTTCATTCTTGAAGCTTTCTTTTCCCTTACCTTCTGGGACAGGGGTCTTCTGAACTTCCCATTTCTCTGTAGCTGCTCCTTCTTTGTCTCTCTTGTGGGCTCACTCTCTTTTTCCCTCCTCAGCAGCAAAGTGCCCAAATTCCTCAAGGCTGAGGGTACATCCCTATCTTCCCCACTCCGTGGTCTTCCCCACACCATGGCTTTAATGACCACTCTGTGCACAAACATAACTGCATCCTGGACCCTTCTCTGAACTATGGTCTGATGTCTTCCTTCTCACCTTTTCCTCTTGGATGTCTTCTTGGACATCCCACTTAAAATGTCCCAAACTGTTTCTCCTTTGGGAGTCCCCATCTCAATGACTGGCTCTGTTATCCTAAGTGCATAAACCTGGGAATCATGTCACTCCCTCCCTTGCTGGCCTAAACATCCCTGGAACTATTTACTACTCTTTTTTTAAAAAAATATTTTATTTATTTATTCATGAGACACACACACACACACACAGAGAGGCAGAGACACAGGCAGAGGGAGAAGCAGGCTCTATGCAGAGAGCCTGATGTGGGACTTGATCCTGGGACTCTAGGATCACACCCTGGGCTGAAGGCAGGTGCTAAACCGCTGAGCCAGGGACTCCCGCTATTTACTACTCTTGAGCTCCTTGGAGACATCTCTGATCCAAGCCTCTGATCATTTCTTGCCTGGATTACTGCAAGAATGAATTACTCCACTCTATTCCCACTGGTCTGCTCTCCTAGTGATTGTCAGAGTGACCCTGTCAGACACAAATCTGATTTACAACATCTCCAGTGACATCTACTTTTGTGGAATTAATACCTCAATCTTGGCAGTCCTCACAGAATGAACAGGGCCCTCCAGAACGCATTTCCTGTCTGCCCCTCTTGTGGCCTGCCACCCGGCTCCCCTCCTCCGCCTCTCCCCAGGTCTTTATGCTGCAGCCACTCTGGCCACTATTGGTTCCTGCAGGGTGTCACACTTCTTCCCACCACGGGATGCACTCCATGGAATGTTCTTTCACCCTGTCACCTAGGTAACGTCTGCTCATCCTTCAGACCACAGCTAGATCTTCACTTTTCTGGAGAAACCTTCACTGATTTCCTCAAACAAGTGCCCCTGTTAGATTAGAGGCCCTTACAATTTCACTTGTAGCAGTTACCATACGTTGCAACTTGACAATGATGGGTGCCATAATTTATTCATATCCATTCTCCTTCTTCCCTTGCCCTGGACTTGAAGCTTCATTATGGTAGGGACTTTGATGGCCTTTGTTCTTTTGTTCACTCTTGTATCCCCAGGCCTAGCAAGGTGCTTGCTGCACAGCGGGTGCTCAGCAAACACTCACTGAATGAGTGGAGACAGGGGTCTTCAGCGCTGCAAGGTGTTGAGGGGGAGGAAAGCCTAAGAATCTGACTTTCACACTTGATCATTGCATTGGTTTGATGTGAGGATGAAAAAAAGCTCTGGTCTAAAAAAGTGCTCAGAAAAAGAAAAGTGCTCAAGTGGTAGGCAATTGCAGGACAAAAAAATTTACTGTGGTGACTGAGTTCACCATGAGTTGAAACTTCTTTGGTAAAAGGGAATAACCAACTTATGGTGGAAGGTTGTTCTACAAATTAGAAGTAAGCTGAAGAAAGTACTCCTTTTGCCTGTGTCTCTGCCTCTTTCTCTTTGTCTCTTGTGAATAAATAAATAAAATCTTAAAAAAATAGCTTATATATATATATAAAAGAAATCCATATTTATTGTACAAAATACTAGAAAATACATAGCAGTTTAAAGAAAACAAACATCATCCACAACTCCACCACCCGTAAATAACCACTCTTTAATACTTTTGGCTGCACTATGTGTTCTTCCATATTGCTTTCATGTAGTTTGAGGGCCTAATTATGTTTTTAAAAATTTGTGAGGAGGCAAGTAGAAAATTATAGATGGCAGAATTAGAATATACTAACTTGATGCATACCTTAGGAAACTTCAATTAATTAATTTATTTTTAATGATTCATCAATAGTCTTCTTCTGATGGGGCGGACCTTGCCTTGGCTTCTTCAAAGCCAGTGACTTCTGACACACCTGAGAGAAAAATGAAAGACATTCTGCATGACCTAGAAGAAATCCAGAAAAAATTACAAGAAAACTTCACATGGAACGGGGCCCTTGAAGAACATCTGCAGGGTGAATTGATTTTATTTTGGGAAAGAGGATTAACTATGGAAGTTGGGGGAAATGACAAAGTGTTCCATGGCTTTGTTTTGGGGGGATGAGGATCCCAGAGCCCAGCTGTGGTGTTGTAAATGAGGAAGGAGTAGGCTGAGGTGTTTTTGTGGCTAGCTATGTGTTTTGGATATAACTGGAGGTGTGATGTAACATAAGCCTTTAAAAGATAGAAACTCATTTTCTGAGACCTATACATCCAGAATCTAGACCTGATTTTGCTGCTTGCCTATGTTATCTACCTGGAGATTCAAAAATAGGCTGCTTTTCATGTTTAATTATTAAATGTCTTTGTTAACAAAGCATGCGACTTTGTAAATCATCCTTGATAAGTTCTATTAAACTGTCATCCCTGGTGAGTATACTAATAGTAAACAGTAACAATGCAGGAAAGAACCTCTCTGTCCTAACTTTGTAGGTTCTCTATTATAACCCTTGTCATGACTGAAGAACAATTCACACCTGCCCCTTAGACATTAGCTCTGGACTCCTTCTGCTCTGCCTCCTGCCCCGCTGCCAGCTTTCTATACTTTAGAGACATATCTCTTATAACTCTTTCTATGTTTAAATGATCTTACTCTGCTTAAAAAGTTATTTTTTATTTAGGTGGAGAAACATGATCCCTTGGGAAAAGTTTCTCAAGGAAACAAGTTAGAACATACTTTATTAGCTGCTGCAAAAATTATCTGAGAAATAAGTGCCCTCTTGGCTCCTGTGTGCCCCTAAATTTAGATTGGGTTCCTTAGTGATCTTATTTACTGACACATATTTGAAATCAATATTTAGGGGCTCCTGGCTGGCTCAGTTGGTGGAGCATGTGACTCTTGATCTTAGAGCTGTGAGTTCAAGCTCCATGTTAGGCCTAGGGATTACTAAAAAATAAAATCTAGAAAAAGGGAGAAATAAATGTTTAGATTTTGAGGTTAAATTTAAAAATTTAAATTCAGAAATCAAAACAATATAACAGCATACAGTGAAAATCTCTTTCCCACCCTTGTCCAATTTTCCTATTGCCCTGCCTCAGTTAACCACTTGTATTAGTTTCTTGAGTTCCCATTCAGAATTTACTTGTGCGAGTGACAGTTTAAATCACAGACAGGAGGTCATGGGTATTCTGGGTGTTAGAATGCTGTGACCTGCTGTAACTGTAATTTATTTGATAGATATGCATCTGACACTTACTTCCTATGTAGCTGGCACTACGCTTGGTGCTTAGAACATAAAGGTGAACAAGGTCTCTACCAGCAAGAAGCTTAGAGGGAAGCCGTTACCAGGGAAACGGGCAGTAAAAAAAAAAGGTCCATGGTGAGAACATGGGGCTGAACATACCTGAGCTGGATGTTCTGCCTTGATCCAAGTCTGACACTAAAAAAATCCACTAAAGAAATGTGATGAAGCAGACAAGCCATATGCCCTGATCATGATGTTTGGATACCTTCTATTTGCCTTTTTTTTTTTTTTAATGAGACTTTCTTTTCTCCCTCCCAATTTTTTGAAATCCTTAGTGGAACTCCAGGAAGCTCCATCTTCTTCTTCACACCCATTGCCTGACCACAGCTGCCCAGCCCCCAGGAGGGCCTTCCAGTTTGCTCAGTGTAAGTATGTGGTCTCCTTAACACCTGGGTTTGGCCTGCCACGTCCACCTTCTGCTGCTGGGTCTGTTCCTGGGCTCACAAGGCCGTCTGATTACAAAGGCAAAAGGGAGAGGCACCTGGGTGGCTCAGTGGTTGAGCATCTGTCTGCTTTTAGCTCAGGTTGTGATCCTGGGGTCCTGGGATCCAGTTTCACATCAGGCTCCCCACAGGGAGCCTGCTTCTCCCTCTGCCTATGTCTCTGCCTCTCTCTGTGTGTCTCTCATGAATAAATACATAAAATCTTAAAAAAAAAAAAAAACCACAAAAGCAAAAGAGATTGAAGACTCTAAAATTCCAAGCTATGCTGGGTGGGATTCAGACACAGCTTCTGAAAGAGGCTTAATGGGGAAGTAAAAATTAAGATAGAAAAAGGGGTATTGTTATTAGAACAACACTGGGGATATGTACAGCAAACTGCAATTTGATAAACTAATTTTAATGCCAGTGTGAGTAAAACTTTACCACACCCAAAGACACAGAGATGCTTTCTGGTCTTACTTTTTTCCTCAGGGGCCATCAGCCCAACCTTTGACCTTCGCAGCCACTCCTGTAGCTTGGAGGTGTCCGAGGATTGCCGGGTGGTGACTGTATCTCACTGGCCACAGACCCATCTCTGGAGTCACGAGAGGTTTGTGACCTGCCAGGTCTTATGTTCCCAGGCCTTCTCTTCTGGGCAGCAGTACTGGGAAGTGGACACTCAGCATTGCAGCCACTGGGCAGTTGGGGTAGCTTCCTGGGGGATGACGCGTACCCAGATCCTGGGAAGGACCAAGGACTCTTACTGTGTAGAGTGGAAGGGGAATAGCCAACTCTCTGCATGGCACATGGTCCAGGAAACGGTCCTTGGCTCAGACAGACCTAAAGTGGTGGGCATCTGGCTGGACCTGGAGGAGGGAAAACTCGCCTTCTATTCAGTGGCTGACCAGGAGACGCTGCTGTATGAGTGCCCAGTCTCTGCCTCTTCTCCTCTGCACCCCGCCTTCTGGCTCTATGGCTTAAATCCTGGAAACTCTCTGACTATACGGCCAGTAAATGTGTAAAGGTTCCCTGGGTGTTAAAACATGGTGGTGGTGTCCTGGTCTCCCCCTCTGGTTCTAAGCCAGTGGCAACTTGACAAGAATCCTACTTCTCGAGTTAACGGGTGTGCAGTAAAGGGCTAACTGCAGGCTTGGGATGTTCAACTGCACATTCCCAAGAGAGCATGGGTCCCTGACTGGCTCCTGGGAGGCAGCCTCTAAGTGCTTGGCATATCCTGCCTGATAAGAGTATTTTGGTTTACCTGAGGGCCTTGGGCCAGAAGGTATCAGCTTGACCTCTGGAGGGGCTGGAGACAAAGGCCTGCCTATGTGACCGACACCAAGGCACCAAGGCTTGGGTAAGCCACCCTGGTTGATAGTCCTCCTTGTATATTGTCACATGCTGTTGCATGGGGAATTAACATTGTCCTTGTGACTCTGTGGGGAAGGAGACTTGGGGTCTCTTAGCCTGTTTCCTATGTGCCTTTTTCTACTGCTGATTTTAATCTGTATCCTTCCACTGTTAATAAATTGTAACCAAGACTATAATCACTTCTTTGAGTTCTCTGAGTTCTTCTAGCGAATCACTGAATCTGAGAGTGGTTTTAGGGACTCCCAAGCACAGAGGCAGGTTATCAATTGCTGTGTAATAATAACTACCATGAATGCAATGGTTTCGAACAATGCACAGTTATCATCTCAGTTTCTGTACACCAGGCTTCAGGGCACAGTTCGACAATGCCTCAGCTTCGTAGCATCACCAGGTGCAGTCAAGGGGTGATATGGAGCCATGATGGCATCTGAAGCTCAACTGGGGAAGGATCTCCTTCCAAACTCACGTGATCTTCAGCACATTCAGTTCCCTGTGGGTTGTCAGACTAAGGGCTTCAGGTTCTTGCTGGCCATTGGCTATTGGCCACCCTCAGTTCCTTACCCCACAGGCCTCTGCACTGTAGCTACTTACATCCTCAAAGCCAATGAGGAAGAGGAGTTCTTCTAGCCAAATGGACATTAGATCTTATATAATGTAATCACGCTAACATAATCACATACATCCTGTTGCCTTTGCCTTATTCTATTGTTTAGAAACAAGCCACAGATCTTGCCCAGGCTCGATGGGAAGGGTTTATGCAAGAGCAGGAATACCAGGAGGTGGAAGGTCATGGGGGCCACCTGACAGTCTGGCCAGCACTGTCCATATTTGATTTCCCCTGTTTTTAAAAACCATTTTATTACATAATAAGACAGAAAACTCTATACAACATATGTGGAATACAATGAATTATTACAGAGTAAACACCCTTAGTAACTATTCTTCCAGTCAAGAAAGAGAAGTTTCCTAACTGCCCCCCACCCCCACCCCCTGCCAGAAACTCCTTCATGTGCCTTATCTCAATCACAGGACCCTGCTTCTACATGAAAGGAATCTGACTTTTACCGTAATCATTTCGTTGAATCTCTTTAGAGTTTTAGCACCAAATATGCACACCTAGTCACAAGAGGCTTACCCATGTAAAAAAAAAAATGGATATGTCTTTTTCTTAACTGCTTTGTTGAGATATAATTACATTTTATAAAATTCACCTATTTAAAGTATACAGATGGCGGGGTAGGGAGGCAGGGAGTGGGGTGCCTGGGTTGCTTAGTCAGTTGAGGGACTGACTCTTGGTTTTGGCACCAGGGTCCTGAGAGCCAGCCCCACATGGGGCTCCTTGCTCTGCAGAGAGTCTGCTTAAAGACCCTCTCTCCGAGAGGCACCTAGGTGGCTCAGTGGTTGAATGTCTGCCTTTGGTTCAGGTCGTGATCCCGGGGTCCTGGGATCGAGTGTTACATTGGGCTCCCGGAGGGAGCCTGCTTCTCCCTCTGTCTATGTCTCTGCCTCTCTCTGTGTCTTTCATGAATAAATAAATAAATAATCTTACAAAAAAAAAAAAAAAAAAGGGAAGCTTGGGTGGCCCAGCCGTTGAGCATCTGCCTTCGGCTCAGTGCGTAATCCCAGAGTCCCAGGATTGAGTCCCAGGACCAAGTCCCGGATTGGGCTCCTTGTGTGGAGCCTGCTTCTCTCTCTGCCTGTGTCTCTGCCTCTCTGTCTGTCTGCCATGAATAAATATATCTTTTTTAAAAATAAAATAAAGTATACAGATTGGGCACCTGGCTGTCTCAATCTGTAGAACATGCAACATTAAGTATACAAATTAATGTTTAGTATGGAGTTATGAGACCGTCACTGTATTCTAATTTTAGAATATTTTCATCACCCCAGAAAGACCCTTCATACCTATTAGCTCCCAATGTGTCTTGTAGGTCACCCAGTCTACACATCTCCTTCTCCCTCTCCTTTCCTTGCAATTCAACTGTAGGACCCCAGGCTGTAGCACCCAGTTTGAAGATGTGGAAATTCACATTTGGGCTGTTGCGTTGGTTTGAACAGAAAGCCTTGCAACACAACCCAGCCAGGCAACCCTTGGCAGCACATTTCACCTCTTTGCCCTGTAAGATGGAAATAATTATTATTTGCCCTTCCTTACCTTCCTCAAAGGGTTGCTGAAAGAATTAAAGTAATAGGTCAGGAAACTGGGAAAGTGCCATGGTGATTATAACCACAGCAACAATGACAGAGTTGTGTTGGCCTCCAATGCACCTTGGCCTCTAACATCTTGAGATCCTGGATCTTGAGATCTTGAGATCCTTGAGATCTTGAGACTTGTGTCTCATTTACATATATATCCTTGAAAACAGGGCCAAGCCAATTCTTCCACATGTTCTGCTAACTTGCTTTCTGGCCTCACAACGACTATACATGATGTTAACACACCAGAAAGTGGAGGCCCAGACAGCGTTGGTGGTTTGTCTGGGACTGGTTAGCTGATAGAGCAGTGACCAGGCCCAGGTCCTCTCTCTCAAGTCTCTAACTTTAATACCCTCTGTTAAGGTCCTGTGCTGAACCAGGACCTGGCCTTCCACTCTGATGGGACACAACTAGCCCTAGAGCCACAAGGTACTCTTTTTTTCTGGTTGTTGTTGATGGTGGTGCTCAGTATAGTGACCTTGGGTTGTCTGAGCAAGGGCAGGCCCTCTCTTTGTGCTGGTTGACCGCTAAAGGGCTCTCCTTTTTCACTTCCTGCATTATGGAGCTTTTATCTTCTCACCCAGAGTCACCTTGATATTTGCCCTTTAAAAGTACCAACATGGAGAATTCAGAGGCCAGGGTTTTTAGCATCTTGAGGTCCTTTGGTTAAATACCATCCTGCCTGGTGGTTTGGATAATGGGGCCTCTGTGAGCATGGATATTTTATTGCCTGGCCACATGATTTTCCCAAACTGAAGCTGAAGCATAAGAACCAAAAAGGTAGAGAATGGGGCACCTGGGTGGCTCAGTCAGTTAAGCGTCTACCTTCAGCTCAGGTCATGATCTCAGGGTCCAGGGGATCAAATCATTCATCAGGTTCCCTGCTACGTGGGGAGCCTGCTTCTCTCTCTCCCTTTGCCTGCTGCTCCCCCTGCTTGTGCTCTCTTTCTCCTTCTCTGTCAAATAAATAAGCAAAATCTTAAAAACAAAAACAAAAACAAAAACCTGAGACAATGAAGTTTAGCACTCTGCTTCTTTGCTTTTGTCTCAAGTTTTCTGTCAGCATCTGCTTTCCAGGACACTGTGAAAAGTGGTACCCTTTTCTGAAAACAAAACAAAACAGAACAAAACAAAACAAAAATCCTCCAGAACAGAAATAATGAAGCTGAAATGCCAGTGGCTGAAGGGCCTCTCACTGGGATCTACAGTGTGGGGGAAGGAATCGTCCACCCACGCGTCAAGCTGGAAAGACGTCTCATGGGGGTGCAAAGGCTCATGGGGAGAGTGCCAGGGACTCCTGAGCTACTTCTCACCCCCCACCCCCGGCAGATGTTTCTCTCAAAAATTTATATTTTCTTGTAGGCTTGTCTCTGTGAAATGCTTTTTTTCTGGGGGTCAGGAAGAAGGGAGTAATGTCAGTGACAATGGCCACTCCTCTCTCTCCCTCTCTCTTCCCCTCCGCCTCAGACACACTCTTCACCCGATGGGGAAGGTGCTCCCACTGGAAGGCATGGTTGTGCCATTATTGGGGCCCAGGGCTTTGTGTTCCTGGAAGAACCCTCTACCAAGCAGGAAGCCACCATCTTCTTAGGCTCACGACAGTTATATTTGATACAATTATATCTGTCCCTTACTTTTCCTCCCTCAAATACATTTTTTTTCTGGAAAAGTTAATTTGAAGACTTTATTTCCCAGCTGATTGCAGAAACAAGCCACAAAATGCAACAATGCTGCTCTTTGGAGATACCTCAGGCCCTTGTGCTGTGGTTGAAGGAAAAATCCCTTCCCTAGCAGCATTTGGGGCTTTTGGCAGGAAGGGAGAATTTTCTTTGGTATATGCTCTGCTCCATCATCCCCCATTCCTGCCTGAGCCCTCAGCCCCAAACCCAAATTCATCCTCGTTGTAATTGTTGAAAACCCTAATCACTGCAAGGGGCACCTGGCTGGCTCAGTCAGTGGAGCATGTGACTCGATCTCGGGTTTGTGGGTTCGAGCCCCACGTCGGGTGTAGACATTGCTTAAAAATAAAATATTAAAAAAAAAAAAACAACCCCAAACCCCAGTCCCTGCATGACTTTTTGTCCTTCCAGAGGGGTGCAGTCTTCTTTTTTAATTACAGTTAGGCTTATGTCAAAGATTTGTTTTGATTTGGGGTTTACCTTCCTAACTAGCCACAGGCTTTCTCAGGACATGGTTTCCCAAGCTTCAACCCTTTGTGTGCCACGATTCTTGTCACATTTGCACCATTTTTTACTTACCTAATATTTTTCCCTTAAAAAAAAACAAAGTTTTTTCCTAAACCAACTCAATAACTCCCCGCAGGTATATTCATTTCAAAAGGAAACTTAAGGGACTTAAGGGGAACTTAAGGGTGGCTCAGTCAGTTGAGCATCTGCCTTGGCTAAGGTTGTGGTCCCAGGGTCCTGGGATTGAGCCCCACATCAGGCTTCCTGCTCAGTGGGGAGTCTGCTTTTCCTTCTCCCTTTACACCTCCCCCTGCTCATACTCTCTGTCAAATAAATAGATAAAGTCCTTAAAAACTAATTTAGGGACTCCTGAGTGGCTCAGTGGTTGAACGCCTCCCTTCGGCCCAGGGTGTGATCCTGGAGTCCCCAGATAGACTCCCAACATCGGGCTCCCTGCATGGAGCCTGCTTCTCCCTCTGCCTGTGTCTCTGCCTCTCTTTGTGTCTCTCATGAATAATAAATAAAATCTTAAAAAAATAACACTTAAAAAAGTAAAACTATGTAAATGGAAATCAGAATCATGTGTCTTAAATAACGAGGAAAACCCTAAATATGTTTCACGGAAAACACAATGTGACTAGCTTGGCTCTATCCTATAAGGCTCTGAACCCAAGGCTTACTCTGGAGCTCGCTTGCTTGAGTTCTCTCTCTCTCAAAAGGAGATTATCAGGTGTTATAGATTTACTGAGGCTTTCACCTTGACTTAATTAGGATGGAAACATAATAGAAAAGGA